TTTTTGGCGTTGTAGCACTCTTTTTTTGCAAATCATATTTTTCTCAAACACGGCGCTCTGAAAGATCTCATTTATAATATTATATACTCATTGGTATTTTTAAAACATTTTCTAGGTTATATTTTTTTATTTATGTTATTTAAATTCAGAACCTAAATTGGGTATCGATTAAAGGAACATTTTGTCAAATAACATTTTCCCAGTTATAATATCCCAGAATTTATCGAAGAATAGATAGCAATATATGAAGGTCCGGGCTTAAAAATATCCGCCACCGATGTGTCAAAAACCAGTAAAGTTAAGCATTGTTTAACAACAATATTTGAAAGTAGAGGGAAAAAGATGTATAACCTTGATTGTCATGACCCTGCTATTGGGAGATTAACGATAATATTTGAAAATCCACAATAAAAGTATTTTCTTCCGCTGATAGTTTTTTAGCATTAGTTAAATGTGAAATGATTTTGTAAAATATATTTAAAATTAAAATAAGACATTAAACCTATTTGCCACCTACCCGTTCCAAGTTACTATGGGGTTAAAAGGTCTAGATAACAAATTTTGAAAGACATCAAAAAAGCACATTTCTACAATGGTGAAACGTTTGAAATATTATTTGTTGTGATATAATTGGTTTGGTTCTCATAATATAGTTTATATTTGCTCAAAGTCAAATTGGACCTTTGTAAATTTTTATTAAATTTACTTTAATTCATTGAATGTTTCTTGAGATTTTTCAAAAAGCAGGTCAAAGAAGAAATACTTAATTCATTTTCTATCTCTCCTCGCAGAAATATGAAAATTTTGTGTGAGCTCAGTAGTATTATTTACAATTATACACAAAATTCAGAATTCAAAAAGAATCTGAAAAACTTGAAACGTAATTAATAAGTCGAAAGACCAAAAAAGAAGATTGGATTATACCATGTTTTCTATAGAAAGTGTATAAAACTTCCAGTTTGATTATACTGACAAAATATAGACAAACTAATGGGGTTTATTGTTTTTATAATACCTTATCGTATATAGCATTCAAACAACATATCCTTATACACTAAAAGTATTAATTTTTTTGATTCTCTAGAAATTGTTTAGAATATACCTTACTTAGCAAAACAACGTTTGCCGGGTCAGCTAGTATATATAAATATATATATATATATATATATATATATATAAATATATATATATATATATATATAAATATATATATGATGTGTGATCTTGTTATATATGATTATATTAATATATCATCCAATTGTGTAATTTATTTATTCTTTATAATTTAAGCCGTTGCCGAAATTGTGTCTTTTGGTTCTGCAAAGTTTGAGATTTTAGTCATATATACCCTTTCAGTACCACCATATTGCTTATAGTTTATTGATTTCAAAGTTTTATTTATTATATTTATATTTTATTCAAATCTTTTTCAAAACACCATATAGATCTTATATATAATCTCGACCAAGTGGAGATTTCTACAACGCTATCTCTGATGAGGATGAAAATTATATCCCAATGGCTTACAGTATATTATTGTTCTGATTGCTTAAATTATAATAATAAATCTGATATTTTTAATTATAATAATTAATGGTAATCTGCCAAAAGGAAGGCCTATGTTGTGGGAGCCACCGAAAAATCAATCTTGCTCAGTAGAGTTCTTTCTTTGCCCACTCTCCTCTGGACTTATCTACTCCATTCGCCTCGATCATTACAAAAACTCTATAGATAGTTCTTATCAGCCTTTGTTAAATAACTAGTGGAGTGCATGGCATCGTGCCTTGAAGCAAATTGCTGGTACTTCCCGTACCGTAATTAAAAATCTTGGTACAGAATCGAAAAAAATTACACAAAATGTGTACACATTATTAAAACTCTATAATTTGATGTACATATGTCTAATGAACATTTTTGATCGCCAAATGATTTTTTTTTAACTTTTTTTCATTGAGAGTCTATAGATGCTGGATTTGCCTTCCCAAAAATTTAATCAGTTCTTCATATTGTCAATACAAGTAAAATGTTTTTGAATTATTAAAGTTGGATTCTCCGTTCTCTTAAAAACTGAATTGCCGTTTTTGGCACTTTTTTCCCCTGAACGGCTAGATCTCCCTCCGCCAAACACTAATCAGCACGTCTTCTAATCAATACAAGTCGAATGTTTTTTGAATTATTCAAATCGGTTGATCGGTGTTCCTGAAATCGTCGACGAGAATTTGTATCCGCACACACGCACACATACACACACATACATCCATTTTTTTCTAAGGTATGCCAAAATATTCAGAAACCTGTGAAACGTAAAGATATATAAAACAAATTATTTTCGATTTTTTTGCGATTACTATAACTTACCCTACAGGAAGTTAATAATACTTAAGAAATAATATTTACCTAATTGTATGCGGCATTTTGCCTTAAGGCAAGTTGCATGAACGTTCCTATACGTGTAAGTAATCAAATCAACCAATAAGAATTGAAATTTGGCTATTTAGTTGAAACGTTTGTCTGGTCTTTATGAGAATAAAATTTTAGTTTTAATTAAAATAATCAATACGCTTTCCAATTTATATCTTTCAAATATACTCATAACATATGTTGCACAAATTGAATTAATTTTTAGGCATATCGTTTTATTTTATATCTTGTTCTAAAATTGTATTTTATTTAAGTATGGAGGTCAAATGTTATCAATAGCTACCTTCGAAACACAAAACAGAATATACGGCGTAGATTCTAATTAGAATTGCTTAAGCGCACAAATTATTAATCCCAACTTGATGCATTTTTATAATTCAACTATTTATCGTAGGCTTATATTATTTTAGTATGTTGGTTTAAAGTAGACCTTAAAATTTATCACCATATAAAGTTCTTTTAAAAGGCTTTCGAAAAGGTTTATACTGTAAATCGGATTTCCTGGTGAAAACATACATTTCTTCTTCAGGAAGTTAATTCCAAATCAAAAGTCTGATATTAAGCAGTTGCGATATCGGGGTTTACTTAAAATATTGGTAAAAATAATTTTCAAGCGAAAATAGCTCTTACATTATTTTTATAGCCGACACTTCATCAATTGTTAAGAATAACATTATATCAAATTCTTTACGTTGCCTTCTATAATATTACCTTGTTAATAAGTATCATCATAACAGCTCATAGGACTCTCACTTAAATTCTGATTGTTCTACAAAAAAAAAACAATAAAAAATATATATAATAAATAAAAGCAAATTTCAAGTTTTCTGTCACCTTATCTATGTTATCCACATTTGCCGGAGCAAACAAGTTTATCATGACTGTGTTTTGCTCATTATTATTTGCATGCAGCAAAGGAGTCAATATAACATGGGAAATACCGAAGCAAATTACCCACAGAATGTAATGCGAAAGGATTCTACGAAAAACGAACAACATTGATTCATATGTATTCGTTTGTTTAATCGTATGTCGTTATCCAGAATTATTTATTTTGACATTTTGCGAACGATTAATTAGATACTATAAAAAGTTAAATATTTTCTTGTTTACATCAGTCATTCAACAGTGCGCGCATCACTCAATTATAATAGAACTGTGTTAATTTTCTATAATTTTTGTTTTTGTGAATTGAAATCTTAGGCAAGTTTATAATTGTATGTTTAAATTTTTACTACAAGTTATCAGGGCACTCACACGAATATAATATTGTATATACTCGTGTTTCGAAGAGGAAATCCTAATAAAAATAAACTAGTGTTGCATTGTGCTTTAAGGCAAATTTTTTAAAATCGATTCAGAATTTTTTGGCTTAAAACGTGCACGATTTTTTGACCATTTTTTTAAATTAAACGAGTTATCAAGGTTGTAATATTTCAACATATTCTAGAAGACTATGATATATATCGTCACAAAAAACCATAAAAATCGTCGCAAAAATTTTCGCAAAAAGAACACGGGCCAGCGGATCTTTACCAAAAACGAATCACTATCTTTTCCAATCAATATCTTTCGAACAGTTTTTTAAATTTTCAGAATCGATTCAGGATTGTGAGCTAAAATGTGGACAAAATAATTTTCACTTATTTGCTGTTTGCAAAGAAACGGCTCGGCCGATCGTCACACAAAAATGTCAAACGCAAGTCCTTATGCATCGAGATACAACAAGAGTTACATCGAATAGCTTTCAAATTTTACAAATCAGTGCAGCTGTTTTTGAGAAAACGTCGATAAGAGGGTCAAAAACCAACTCACATACACACACATACTTTTCCTAATTTGGTGTCATTCGATTTAGAAAGGCTTGAAACGTCGAACAGACATAAAATTAAGAAATCGTTTTTTTTTTATGAAACTATAAACTTATACTTCGGGAAGGCAATTGGTACTCATTATTAAATCTTCAAAAATATCTTATGATTTGATATCAGTATCTATATAAAATATCTTTTAATTTGATGAGCATATACCAAATGATCATTTTTGACAACCAATTTTATTTACCTCCGCTGGACCTGCTTTTCTAGAATTGTAATCCGTTTAATTCCGTCAAAACAAGTTCAATGTTTTTTATGTCAAAAGATATCACACACACATACTAACATCCATTTTTTCTAAAAAATCCAAAATGTTCAGAAGACTGAAACGTAAAGATATAAAATTTTGTTTTGTTAAAATCAATGTTGACATCGATCGAGCTATTTGTTGATAATTTACTGAAAGATTGGCTTCGAGTATTCTTAATATTCTCTTTTCGTGCGTATTTCAAATGCAAAAATCAATTCTTTTTAATGTTGCTCTATCTTGGGAATCGGAATACTCAGAGTTTTTATTGAGCAAAAATTATATGGAAAACTCATCCGAAATAATAAAAGGTAGAGCAAAATAAGAATCCTATTAGGAAAAACATTTCTCACGAAAAACATAATCATTAATGCAGTTTTTTTCAAAAACTTGTTTTTTAATTAAAGACACAGTGCACAAAAATGTGAATTTAAAATAAAAATATTTTATTATAGAAATGTGGCACCTTGTGACATTTGTTGCATTGCTGGCAATTACGGCTTATGGAGTACCTGTAGACACGATTACCGAATCTTTAGTTCTTACAACTACTGATGTCCCTGCAACATCTGTTAAAACATCAGAGGTAAGATGATTTTATTTAGCAATATCGATTAATTTAAGTATTATATATTCATTTTATAATGCTTTCTTCTAGGCCGATAATGTCAAAAAGGGCTCTGCAGATATTTATGCTTTTAACGTTCTATCTAGAATTGGAAGTAGATATGCTACTACTCTAGTATCGTCTAAGCTGAAAAATAATGCGGATACTGCAAGAACTGCAGCATTCAGTGTAGTTCTGCCTGAAACAGCATTCATCAGCGGCTTTTTAATGTAAGTTTACTAATATAAAGTCTTTTTTTCATAAATAAGTTTTATAACTATAGATAAAGTACATTTGAGTCTTCACTCACTTTTTTTCAAATAAATTTTATTTTTGTGGAAATCTTCTGGAAAGACGTCAGATTAGAAATCAGAATCGCGTTCATAGGTTTAACAAATTCAATCATTTAGATTTTCCAAGTTTTGTTAAAAAAACTTATGTTAACATAAACACCAACGCCCGTTAAATATCAACTAACGTTTAAATATCATTTTATTTTATTTATTTTATTCTATTTCATTTTTTTTTAAACAAATTATTATACAATATGAACAATCAATATACAATATGGATAAATTACAATATATCGTATGATATATAATGCACTAATAACCCAAAATTACATAATACAGAATGTAACAATACTTTTAATTAAATAGAATAAGATAAAATAATAAAATATATTTGAAAAGAAATAAAAAGATTAACTTGAGCAGATAGAGATTATTTTATGAAGCGAAGTGTTAGGAATGTCTATGCCATTATTAATTAAGTTAAAGTTAGAAGACATAAGCAGAAAAGGCGGATTTAAAAGAGAATTAGATTTCGGAGTAGGATAATTAAAAAATATTTGTAAACGCGAAGATAGCTTAGGAATATTAAAGTTTAAATATCAACATAATAGTACAGTTAAATCGACGTGTGGCAAGAGAAGGTATACCGATTTTTTTTAAAGTGTTGTGGTGTCAAAGCCACGTTTAGGGTAAATTTTGTATGTTTTATAATAAAGATATTTTAGAAATTTACGTTGAACTTTGAACTGACGAGGATACCAAATAATCGATTCATATTTTACCTTGAAACATATATTTGCATAGTGCAATATGCAAAGAAGTGCATTATTTGAATTGAATTCTTTTCGTTTTGCCGTTTTTGAAGTCTGCACAATACGATTTGTTCTTTATAAGTTGTCTCGGGCATATCAAATTATTTTTTTCTGGAATCTCAGGGTAATCAATTGAGCCATTTACTGTCTTATGAAAAAATAAGATTAGTAATTTGCTGTCGTTTGCTTAGGTTATTTTCTTCGCATTTCAGTAAAAATTTTCCGCTTTCATGTGCACTAATTCTTTTCGATTGCGCAAAGTGCTTAAGGTATTTTTCAAATTTCCATCTATTTCACTCTATTAAGTTTGTTGCTTGATAATTTAGTGTGAGGTATCCAAACTATGGAGTTATATTCTAGAATAGGCCTGACGAGTGTGGAGTACAGAATGTATAGTGTGTCTATACTGTGGAAATCTCGATCACTCCTGATGATGAATGCTGAATATATATATATATATATATATATATATATATATATATAAGTTCCGATTCAACTAAATCAGCTCGCAATTTTTCGTCAATAATGCCCAACAATTAATTTAATCTTTCGCAGATTTGCGCTTATGGGATTGAACACTAGATAATTTCTTTTTTGATTCTACGGTAATTTCAAACAAAGGAAAACAGAGCTGTTATTTACTAAATTGCAGAATTATTAATCGGTTAATTGTTTCTACTGATATCACATTGCAAAATAAATATGCTTTTTGTGTCTCCGTATCCCTAGTTAAGTTAAATTATTTATAATAATTTATTAAGTATTCTATATTTTAAATAAATAATTCTAGATTTTATATAAAAAAATATAAATATTATATTATAAATTTAATTTCCGAAACTTGTTTTGTCGCCCCCTAAGGCTAGCGCCCGCATTTTTTACATGCATCGCATGCAAGGCAGGGCCGGCTCTGTATATATATATATATATATATATATATATATATATATATATATATATATTATGTGCTTTAAGGGCGATACATCAAACAAAGAAAAAACAATGATTTGTAAAATAATCTTCAATTCCGAACGTTTCGACATACAATTTGATGTCATCATCAGTGGAACTTGGTGTTTTACATCTAAGAATGTATACACAGCACAGAATTTTGCACTAACATTGATACAACTAACCAGCAAAAATTATGAATTTTGTTGTAAATAGGAAAAATAATGAAGGTTTTGTTCCACAAAAATGTAGAAAAATTAAAGTATCTTGGCACAGAAGCATGTACCTCTAAATGGAAGTGAAAATAAATGAATATATTTATTATATAACGAAATATTAGAAATCTTAGGAAATTCAAAAGTCGATAAAAAAAACTTCAAAAAAATTCAATTACAAAATTTATTTCTTCGTCTGAAAAGAAATTTATAAAATCACATTTTTGACAAAATCGTTTTTAGTGAAAAAGTGTTCAAATAATCTAGCTAGTTAATTTTGTTTTTTCTTAACCCCTTTTTAATAAAAAAACTTCCAAATTTTTATTTTATCAACATTTTTAAAATTTTGTTATATAATCATTTATTTTTATTACTTTCAGTTTTATTATATTGTCATACTTCTGAAATGTTATTTTTTCCATAATTTTTTTTTATTTTATATAAAAAAAAACACATTTTTCTGCTTTTCTTAAATATATTGTTTATTTAAATTATATCAAGATCATGTTTCTTGACAGATTCCTTAAAGATGGAACGTACCTAGTTCCGAAACGTCGACAGTAAATAAATAAAAAAATGTTTTTTTTAAAAAAAACTTGTTTTTTATTACTTTTTGGATTCTTTGTTGCAAGCTCTACAATATATATATATATATATATATATATATAAACAGAAGAAAAATTATTGACTGTTAATTTCAGGGAAATTGAAGGTAAGGTGTATAAAGCGCATGTAAAAGAAAAGGAAGAAGCGAAAAGAGTGTATAATGCAGCAGTTCAAGGAGGACTAGCGGCAGCACATGTGGCTCTAAGGTAAATATGTTTTAAATATATATAAATAGTATAACGAGTTCACCAATCATGTTGATAGTAATTGATTGTTTACTTTCACTTTTTAAAAATTTTTGCTTTAAGTTTTGAACGCTTAACCCCTTGCAGGTGGTAACGCATGTGTAACCCTCATATTTTCCTCGAGAACTTACTATTAAGGAATACTTTTCAAACTATTTTACCATAAAATATTAAAATCGATATTTTTAAATCAATTGATATTTTTAAATCAATTGATATTTTGTTGCATTATCTTGAAATATTTTCTTTCGATAGCGTTTACCATTCATTACATATATGATCAATGCTCCATCGAAATGATTTAAGTTTGTAGAAAATATTTTAAGATGATGGAATAAAATCTCCATAGATTCAAAAATATCAATAACTAGTTGGTATTGGTATCTTGCCGTCAGGCAAGTTACATGAACTTACCAATATGTGTAAAAATTGTAAAATTAATTAATTTATGAGTGATTAAAAGCATTCCGAGTAGATTACACATTATTGAAAACGAACGTACACGTTAATTCGGAGTATTTTCTAAAAGCAAATTTTCAAATATTTTTTTTTTCATAATTGAACCAATTTCCGTAGGACTTTATTGGTTTAGTATGATCATTAAGACCAAGTACTCTATCGTTATACCAAGTAAATCGTCTAATTTTAATTTTAACAAACGTCAAAAAACTACTAATTTTCTCAAACTTTGACGAATTTTTAAAATCAAACTACTTGTCGTGAGGAATCGCCAAAAAAAGTTACATAAAAATCGGTTTAATTTTTTTTTCAACAGTTAGAAGAAAACGGCTCGGTAGATTTTCACCTAAAACTAATGAGTATCATGTCCAACTAATATCTTTCGAATAGTTTTCGATTTTTTAAAATCGATTCGGTAGTATGAGCTTAAATGTGGACGAAAAGTTTTACACTTTTTTCCAAATTACAAAGAAACGGCCCGGCAGATCGTCGCACAAAACTGACAAACTTTAGTCCAATGGCTTTAGACAAATGGCTTTTAAATTTTTGAAATTGGTTTAAGCGTTTTTGAGCAAACGTTGATGAAATGTCTAATTTTGACAAATGCCAAAAAAACGATACTAATTTTTGCTTATTAAACTTTGAATAATTTTTTAAATTAAACGACGTAGGGCGTATTGTCGTAGGGCCGTAATAGTTTAGTATGATCTATAATATTGTGGTATCTACCGTCAAAAAAAAAATCGTAACTAGTTGGTTTGGTATTTAGCCTTGAGGCAAGTTACATGAACTTCCCTTCCCTTACTTACATGATATGTGTAAATAATCGACTTTATCAATAAAAAATAAATTAATTTATGAGTGATTATAAGTATTCCGAGTGGATTTATTACACATCATTGCAAACGAACGAACGAACACGTTAACTCGGAGTATTTTCTAAAAACAAATTTTCAAAAATCAATAATTTTAATTAATCAATAGTTATAATTGAACCAGTTTCCGTAGGACTTTAATGGTTTACTATGTTCAAGACCAAGTACACTATCGTTATACCAACTAAATCATCTAATTTTATTTTTAACAAACGTCAAAAAAACTACTCATTTTCTCAAACTTTGATGAATTTTTAAAATTAAACTACTTGTCGTAAGGCCGTAATAATTCAGTAAGTTCTATAAGAGCATGATATATATCGCCAAAAAAGTTCCATAAAAATCGGCCTAATTTGTTTTTCAACAGTTATTTACAAGAAAACGGCTCGGTAGATTTTCACCTAAAATAAATCAGTATCATTCCCAACTAATATCTTTCGAACAGTTTTTGATTTTTTAAAATCGGTTCGGTAGTATGAGCTTAAATGTGGACGAAAGGTTTAACACTTTTTTCCAAATTACAAAGAAACGGCTCGGCCGATCGTCGCACAAAACTGAAAAACGATAATCCTCATCGAGATACATCAAATGCTTTTTAAATATCTGAAATCGGTTCAGGCAAACGTCGATCAAAGTTCTAATTTTGACAAATGCCAAAAAGACCATACTAATTTTTGCAAACTTTGACGAATTTTTAAAGCTAAACCAGTTGTCGTAGGGCCGTAATATTTTAGTATGATCTAAAAGACTATGGTATCGACCGTCAGAAAAATAATCATAAAAATCGTCGAATTTTTTTTTTTAAACTTTATTACAAGAAAACTCTACCAAAATCTAATCAGCACGATTCCCAACCAATATCTTTCGAACGGTTTTTCAATTTTCAAAATCGATTCAGAATTGCGGGCTAAAACGTAGACGAAAAATTTTTCACTTTTCTGCGATTTATAAAGAAACGGCTTGGCCGATTGTCGCACAAAGTTGACAAACAATAGTCCTGATCGAGATACATCGAGTGGCTTATAAATTTTTGAAATCGGTCCTGCCGTTTTCGAGAAAACGTAGATTTACGGCAAAAAATTTGTTCACATACACGCACACACTCACACATATACTTTTTCCAAACTTGGTCTCATTCGATTCAGAATGGCTTGAAACGTCGAGAAAACATAAAATTAGTAATTCGGATTTTTTGATGAAAACATAAACTTCTCCTTCAGGAAGTTAAAAATTGCCGAAAACAATTTTTTTTAACACTTTATTACAATAAAACGTGGACGAAAAATTTTACAATTTTGCTATTTATAAAGAAATGGCTTCAACGATCGTCGCACAAAACTGACAAGCAATAGTCTTCATCGAGGTGCATCGAATGGCTTTTAAATATTTGAAATCGGCAAAAAGTCTGTTCACACGCAGAGACACCTTAAGTAAGTCTCATTTGTTTAAGGGGTCACACCACTGTAGCAGTAAAAAAAAGTATGTTTTTGCCATTTTTTCGGACGGAAGGAAAAGTATTAAAATCATGATATTAAAGATAGTTATTTATTGTACTTTTGTAGAATTTATGTTGAAAGTTTATGTGAATAATAATACAACCGTTTATGCAGTAGGATAAAAACAGACTGACTGATTATATATTCTTCAACTAATCACATTCATTACAAACATTATTAACAACCACTTGTTTCATATAAAACAAAAGACAAACATATATACATAAACATAGTAGACACAGAGCGTTTAGTATTAAACTTCAACAAAAGTAACAAAATAAAATATAATTGTAAAAAAAATAAAAATGGCGATACTACAGCCATTTCGATTTCGGTGAGCCGCGTCAAAATCCGCGGCACTCAAAATAACTACAACAATTTGAATGTTTTTCACTTGAATTTTTTACAGTATATTTAAAATAACATTTTTAAGTGCCCATCATAGGAGATCTTTTATATGTTAATTTGTTCATCAATTATTAACAAATTACTATCCGTTTTTTTCATTGGAATTCAACGATTTTAAATAAAGTGCTCGTCAAACAAACAAAAATCCATATTTTTTAAATCCGCTATGATGGGCACTTTAAAATGTAATTTTAAATATGCTGTTAAAAATTCGAATGAAAAAATTTCAAATTGTTGTAGTTATTTTGTTACATTAAAGTACAATGAATAACTATCTTTAATATCATGATCTTAATACTTTTCCTTCCGTCCGAAAAAAATGGCAAAGCATAAGTTTTTTTTACTGCTACAGTGGTGTAACCCCTTGAGGCACAATGCCATGCAGCATGCACCCATGGACCTTTTAACATCTGTATTATAATATAAGATCTATACTAAGCACCACTAGATTTTTTTTTAGTTATATAATTTGAAAAATATAAAGTAAACCTGATATATCAAATATGCTCTATCTTTCAAAACTATTTTTCATGTATTTACGTCGACGGATGTTAGTTAATGTTGTTTCATTTTAAAAATTATTTATTGTCTTCTCCAGTGCAAGAGATTCGAATAGATTTACTGTAGACGTGTCAGTTCCAGCCACACAAAAAGCAACATTTAATTTAACGTACGAAGAACTTCTGTCCAGGAGGGTGGGCGTCTACAATCACGTGCTCAACTTGAATCCTGGGCAAATTGTAAGAAAACATTTATTTATTATTATTCTAATTTAATTAATTTCTTCTACTAATAATTAATGTTTTATACTAATTTAATTAATTTAGTATAGTGTGCTGGTTGATGTTGTCGTAAAATATTATTAACTTCCCGTAAAGTAAATTAAAGTAATCGCAAAAATATCGATGATTAAAAATTTTATATATCTTTACGTTTCATATGGGGAGTAGCATTTTGTACAGCTTTTTTTCAGAGTATTTATGTAAAAATTTAAGTTATACTCTATATCTGCTTCAGATTTAAATCTGACTTCAAGATCTAATTTAGAAACGTAATGTATATATATAAAATTTTTAATTTTCGATTTTTGAACATTTTTGCATACCTTAGAAAAAAAGGATGTATATGTGTGTGCGTGTGTGCGGATACAAATTTTCGTCGATGATTTTGGGAACACGGATCAACCGATTTGAATAATTAAAAAAACATTCGATTTGTATTAATAAGGATCTAGCCATTTTCAAGGTAGGGGGCAAAAAAAACTAAAAACAATTCGGGGCAATTCAGTTTTGGAGAGAACGGAGCGTCCGATTAGAATAATTCAAAAAACATTTTATTTGAATAGACACAGTGAAGTACGTACAGTTTAATAAAATTGAATTTTATTATATTTTTTTAATTTCTGATGCGGGATGTTATAGAAATTTACCTAAAGGCACGATGCTATGCACCACTGCATTTTTACTTTTTTCACACGATCTCTGAAACCGCTAGAGCTGCCTTCCCACAAAGTTCACTAGTTTCCTATTTTATCAAAACTAATAAATTTTTTGAAAAATTTCGACGAAAAATTGTTCCCGCACAGATATATCAATTTTTTAAGGTATGCAAAAATGTTGAGAAACCTTTGAATAGTAAAGATATATAAAAAATTTTATTTTTCATTTTTTTCGATCATTATAACACCACACGGGAAGTTATAGTTAATTAAAATATTAGCAGGTTGTAATTAAAATGTAAATGAAAATGTTTTTTGTTATTTTAAAATAATTATTTTTAGGTGAAAGAAATGTCTGTAGATGTGTTTATTGATGAAAATCGTCCGATCACTACATTACGTGTTCCTGAGTTGCGATCTGGAAATGAAGTTACTCCCGACGAAAGCGATCCAAGTAAGTAATAATTTAGTTAACTTTTTCTCATAAATCAAATTGAAAATATGGTATATTGTCTTCTTATCAATTGCACTAGATAATTCTGTTGCCACAATAATGAGAGACGAAAAGGATAAAACTAAGGCACATATAAGATTTGCACCGACACCAGATCAACAAGCCAGATTAATGATGCAATTAGTGGTACGTTCAGAAAATGAAAGAGTGATTATAAAAATTTTAATGCATCGTTAAATTGGTATTTGTATGAAGTTTCTATTTATTATTTAATATCATTATGCTTTCACTGATGAAAAAGATGATCTTATCGGTTCAGTTTTACTCTGGATATTGCAAATAGATCTTATGTTTATGATTTTTACATCTCTTTATCATAAACTTATATTTTATACATTTTAAATTTATAATAATTTCAAATACAAACAAAAATAATGATTGATCGAATATTGTTATTCTTAATCATTAGGAGAAAGAAAAGAAAGATGATCATCCTACATTCAATCCATTCGTTGTTAATACGGAATCATCAAATGTAAATTCGGGTCTTAAAGGGCAGTTTGTTGTTCAATATGATGTTGAAAGAGATCCCGCCGGTGGAGAAGTTCTAGTGAGTATTATATAATTAAAACCGTTAGATTAAATATTTATACAAACATTGGATACAATAGTACATTAAACAGATTTTTTTTCAACTTATAAGTTATGAGGATTTTTCTTAATTAACTACTTAGACGGCTCCGGTTTGCTTAGCTCAATTTAATGCATTTTATTATTAATAATGAATATCTAGAATACGATCTCCAAAGGTTATATATCAGTGTATATATATATAAATATATATATATATATATATATATATATATATATATTTCAAAAATTATTTTTTTAGATCTCAAAAGCCGAACTATTATTTTCGTACAAAATAATCAAATCGATTATTCTGTTACTCTTTTATATCTATCATCATGCAATATCTATTATTTAAAATTATTTAATCAAATATGTTTATTTATGTTTTAATTACATAATATGTTTACTTTACTATTTTAATGACAAAGTTTATCATAATGTAAGATAACAGACTTGCATTACATAACCATAATATACGTATCATTCTAGGAAAGATGTCATTGATGATTTTTTTAAATTACTCTTATAAATAATTTGTATATATATATATATATATATATATATATAAATATATATTATAGGACCGGTCCTACCTTAAATGCAATGCATGCGAAAAATACTGGCGCACGCCTTAGGAGGCGGAAAAGAAGTTATCTAGTGTCCAATCTCGTAAGCGCAAACGTGCGAAAGATTAAAAAAACTAGCTGTAAGTGGAATTCTGTCTTAAGGCAATTAGGGCATCGTGCCTTAAGGCAAGTTGCTGGAACTTCCCGTACCAAAAATTATTATTTTTTTAAAAACGATTAACATTTTTGAAAAAAATTTACTTCGAAAAAATTAGATTTTTGAGAAACTATAAATTTGACCAAAAATTATTTTTTTTGAAAAAAAAAAATTTGAAAATAAAAATTTTTTTTGAAAGAAAAATTTTTTTTTGAAAACAAAAAAATTTTTTGAAAAGAAAAATGTTTTCTTCATTTTGACATATTTTGGAAATTCTGAACTTTCTTTCAAAGCAATCGTACTGCTTGAACTGCATAGAGACGAAATGTCATAGCGCAAGTGCCGCGCCGCCGTCTAACGCATAAGCATTGGTACGGAACCAATAGAATTGTAAAAAAAATTATACTTATTGTTAAAATCTCTATAAAATATCTGATAATTTGATGTGCATATGTCTAATGATCATTTTTAACCGCCAAATGGCATTTTTTTTTTACTTTTTTCATTAGATCTCCGAAACCGCTAGACCTGCCTTTATGAAAATTTGATCAATTCTTCATCTTGTCAATACAAGTAAAATGTTTTTTGAATTATTTAAATCGGACGCTCTGTTCTCTTAAAAACTGAGTTACCGTTTTCGGCACTTTTTGCCCCGTATCTTCGGAACGGCTAGACCTGCCTTCGCCAAAACCTAATCAGCACGTCTCCTTATCAATACGAATCGAATGTTTTTTGAATTATTCAAATCGGTTGATCCGTGTTCCCGAAATCGTCGACGAAAATTTGTATCCGCACATACATACACACACGTACATACACACACACACACACACACACACACACACACACACACACATACATCCATTTTTTCTAAGGTATGCCAAAATATTCAGAAACCTCTGAAACGTAAAGATATATAAAAATTTTCATTTTCGATTTTTTTGCGATTACTATAACTTGCCCTACGGGAAGTTAACAAGCAGGACCTCTTAACAAATTTGTAACTACAATTTGAAACGCGGCAATTAGATTCAAATGTAGTTATCGACGAAACTAAGAAAACGAATTTTTTAAAAAACGAAAATATTTTGAAATTTAGATGACCCAGCTGAATATGACATTATTGACGCAAAATTGCCAGTTGATTTAGATAAAACGGAACTTGTTACAAAAATAGATACAAAAAAAAATTGAGAAAAATGTAAAATGGGGAGTCAATTTCTAGAAAATGGCCCATTTATCCCGAAAAATTGAACCATGATTTGTTTTCGTTGCAAACTTTTCGTATCTAATAGTAGCTTTATAGAAGGTTTATACCACAGTAGAAATCATATTGCAACTTTGCTATAATAATCAATATAACATTACATTGTACATCTGATAAGCCGATGCAAGTAAAATAGATACAAATGATAATTATTGAAAATCAATTTGTAAAAATAAGGATAATTATTGTGCACTGTTGATACAATGGAAGCTGGAATAATGTTCAACAATAACGGATCATTTGGAAAACTTTTTTTTGATTACATGCGTGGTTAGGGTTTACGGAAATAAAGCACATATGAAATATTGTAAGATTTTGAATTTGATGTTGACATATGTATTAAAAAAAGTCTAATACTTCGGCTCACATCAATTTTTCTATTTTGAAAAATATTTGAGTGAATAAACGAGAAACTTATAATAGGCTTTTCAATTTATATGAATGAAAATGATTTATACAACTTGCAAACTGCAAATTCTTACACGAACTGCCGGTCGCGCGGCGCGTCTTTAAAACGGTCGCACGGCGCGCGACTTGTGCTCGAAAACATATAATATCTTTCGTAATAGCCTCTCCATCGAATTGTAAAAAGAATTTTGTAGTAGATAAAACAAGAAACAATATGATTTTTTTCTCAATGGATTTATGTCTGGGCAAGCGTATGTAAAACCAATGTAAACAATTAATTGTTATTATTGTTAAAATAATTGCAAAAACTTTTTTTTAATTACTTAAAAGTTGAGTTCATAATGAATATAATAAAAAAACAATACTGATCTGTTTAACACAACTGGAGATAATTAACATAATGTAGAGGAAGTTCATAAAAATTGAGAAAATCAGCAATATTTTAATCGTAAATATTAACGAAAGAAAATTTTGTCGGCAAAATCCTGAAAAACGTGTCAAATGATTTTATCTGTAATATCTATAAAAAAAAATAGCCAATTATAAAATGTCAAGGTATGGTTTGTGTACATCCATTTTTTTTTTGAGGTGTGCCAAAATGTTCAGAAAATACTAAAACGTAAAGATATGCAATTTATTTAAGATTATTTTCGATGTTTTGACGATTACTATAACTTTGCTTTCCGGAAGTTAAAAACTGAAACAATTTGGTCAAAACACTTTGTAACAGCAACATCAATTTAATTACAAAAATTCTAACCGATAACGCTTATCCATTAAAACTGTTCAACATCATAACTAGCAACAGACGCGCGAACCTTTTGAATAATATTTACATCATTACATTTACATATAAATCTGGACTCTGACATGTAAACAACTTTAGTATAACGACTAGTACCAAAGTTTTACCAAAACCGACACTCCTTTTAACATCGCACGACTTAGAAATCTCGTAAAATTCGAACAAAATTTTAAACAAAGAATTATAAAAGGATCTTTTTTGACTATTCAAAACGATAGAATAATAAATAAATGCAGTGAACTCGACACGCTGTGCGAATCAAATCTCTTTTATATATATAGTATTTCCAAATTTCTCACAAAACAATAAAAGTGTTACGCAAAGGATTCGCAATTATTTTCACACATGTAGAATGATTGGTAAAAATATAAAAAAAAATATTCCTCCATTATGTCTTCAACAAGTTTACGGACAACACATATATTACACACTATCTAATTGTGATTCTTTAATTTAGTATTTTGTGAAATATTGTTTATTTACATTCAGCTCTGGAAGTTTGTATTAAATTAAACCATTTGATAATGCAATGTAAAATATAATTCACTAATGGTTATTTTCCACTAATTTTGAAGAATAAACTGGCATTTTCTATGAATTTATCGAAGAATGGATATTATTATATGAAGGTGCGGGGTTAAAAAAGTCCACCACTGATATCTCAAAAATCAGTAAAGTTAAGCATTGCTCAACAACAATATGTGAAAGTAAAGACAAAAAAAAATATACAGCTGTCAGCTTGATTCATACGACTTTGCTATCGGGAGATAAACGGCAATCTTTGATAATCCATATCAAAAAGTATTTTCTTTTCCTGTTAGTTTTTTGGGTTTTGAGCACTGTGATTTAGTTCACGAGACCTTAATATAAATATTAACTATACGTTATTTAATTGTTTTATAAAATGTAATGTTAATTTTAAGTGAGATTCAACAGTTTTTTTTATATAACTACTTTAAAAGCTTACACCTGGGCGTGGTAAGCTTTAAAAGTGATTATATAAAAACTGAACAATAACCCTGGAAAGGTATAAAAAATAAAAAATAGCAAATAAAAAAGTAAACTAGTGGGGCAAATTGCTGAAACTTCTTGTACCAAAAATTATAAAAAAAAATTAACATTTTTGAAAAAAATAGATTTTTGAGTAACTATAAATTTTTGAAAAAAATCATTAATTTTTGGGAAAAAAACTTCTGGAATATAATATATTTTTTCAGTTTGAAATATTTTGGAAATTTTGAACTTTTTTTCAAAGCAATCGCATTTGCTTCAGCTGCATAGAGACGCAATATCGAAGCGCGTAAGCGCTGCGTCGCTGTCTAACGGATAACATTGGTATGGACCCATAAGAATGTAAATATAACTTATTGTTAAAATCTCTATAAAATGTCTGATAATTTTATGTGCATATGTCTAATGATCATTCTTGTCGCCAAATGGCATTTTTTTTTACTTTTTTTACTATGTCTCCGAAACCGCTGGACCTGTTCATACCAAAAATTTAATCAAATTTTCATTCCTGCCAATTCAAGTAAAATGTTTTTGAATTATTAAAATCGGATGCTCCGTTCTCTTAAAAACTGAGTTACAGTTTTTGGCACTTTTTGCCCCGTATCTTTGGAATGGCTAGACCTGCCTTCGCCAAAAACTAATCAGCATGTCTTCTTATTAATACAAATCGATTTTTTTGATTTATTCAAATCGGTTGATCGGTGACATACACACACACACATACACACATACACACATACATAAATACACACACACACACATATATCCATTTTTTCTAAGGTATCCCAAAATATTCAAAAACCTTTGAAAAGTAAATATATATAAAATATTTCATTTTCGATTTTTCCTTCGATTACTATAACTTACCCTACGGGAAGTTAAAAACATGAAACGTAATCCATATTCCATTTATTGGAATTTGTAATGACTATATAGGTCGAAAGACTAAAAAGAATTTGGATTGTATTATACCATGTTTTCCATAGAAAGTGTATAAAACTTCCAGTTTGATTGTATTTACAATATATGGATAAACGAATATTGTTAATACAAATTATATAATATTGAACAAGTAGACTTTGGGGTTTATTGTTCTTATAATACCTCATTGTCTATTCTATAGCATTCAAACAACACATCCTTGCGCACAAAAAATTATTTTTTTTGATTCTCTAGAAATTGTGTAGAATTATCTTACTCAGCAAAACAACATTTACCGGGTCAGCTAGTATATATATATATATATATATATATATATGTATATATATATATAACTGTTGTTTAGGTATATGATGGCTATTTCGTCCATTTCTTTGCACCCGATGATCTGAAATCATTGCCAAAACATGTGGTATTTGTTTTGGACACTTCTGGATCTATGCACGGAAGAAAAATAGAACAACTTAGAACTGCAATGAGCGCCATTCTATCTGATTTGAAACCAGAAGACTTCTTTCATATAATCAACTTTAGTTTTGCTGCAAAGGTATGGTTTTATTCATTATTTTTATATACAATATTTATATTTTATTTATATGTACAATAAGCATCTTCAAAATGGTTTTCTAGTTTATTTAGCTTAAAAGTTTTATTTTTTATTTGTAGAAAATTTAGGCACAATTTTCACTTTAAGCTCTAATATTTTCAAAAAATAGATTTTAAAATAAAGCCCAAAAAATCACGAATAGCAAAACAATCTGATATTTTCAAAACTTTAAATTTTTCAAAAAAAATTATAGTGTACGGGAACTTTGAGCATTTTGCCTTAAATTTTCACGATGCGATGCACCACTAACTATTATTATTATTATTGTTATTATTACTATTAAATTATATATGTGTGTATGTAAATTTAAACGTTCGTAGAAATAATTGATGATAAAACCGAGTTGAACCATTATTAAACCATTTTATAATCATAAGCGTTGGTCATGCTTGAGTCATAAATCCAACACTTCATAAATAAGGAAATAATAATTAAAGGCATAGGTGTATGGCCTCGCAGTGTGTTTGCAATCAAATAAATCGATTGAGATTCTTTTAATACAAAACATATGAATAACAAAGTGAAGATTGATTTATAGTTTAAATTAAAAACTTTCAATGATTGATAGTATGTGAAGTATCACCAAACCTTTTGAAATCACTATATTTGAAATCACTATTTTAAAACTATTTTTTCTCAAATTGATACAGGTTTGGAATCTTGATGATCCTAGCACTAGCCCATCTTATTCCAGTCCTAATGTACATTGGTGGGGTCCTAAAGAAGAAACTAATGATAAAGAAAATCCACCGCCGGCAGCTTATCCAGCGAACGAAAATTATTTGTCCAAAGCAAAGGAAGAAGTTTCGAAACTTGAAGCTAATGGAGGTGAAGATAAATAAGACATTTAAATGAAACCATCGAATAACTTCACGTGAAGTGTAATAATAAGATTCGATATAAACTGATTATATAATAAACGGATGAACGTTTTTTTGTTTCAGGTACCAACATATATGATTCTTTGGAGATTGCAATGAGGGTTGCTAATAGAGGTGTCGATTCAGAAACATTAACCAGGTAAACAGAACAATACTATAATTACTTAAAATTAAGCACTTTATAATCTTCTACAACATAGCCTTGTTCTGTGCATTTTTATGCATATTTCTAAGATCATGTATAGATTTAGTTTTGTGGTGCGGATTTCTAATCAGTATATTTACATAACAATCCAGGTTTATTTTTTACCGATCGTTCGATTGAAAGTTCTGCTGATCTTTTTACTAGTTTATGGCTTTGTTGACTTTACATTAGATGAAATATTTTTGAAATTTGCAATCATAATAATTTTCAAGTAATATAATTTTTGCACCTGATACATTATACATTTTAAGCCATAAGTTTACTTACTTTTTATGCCATAAAAAGTAAGAATGCGTAATCTAACAGTTATCATCTATTTTATAGTATAGGGTTATGAAGAACTATTTGCAGGAATTCTTAATTTATGGTTTGTTTGTCTTATCGATTTATTTTATCTTTTTTATTTTGGTGTATCATCACAACACAACAGATTTTTGCACCCTTGCCGCTCTCAAATAGAATTCGGCTTTGTTTAAGATCTTTCTTAAGCATTTGAATTAACACACATTTTGTCATTCCTGGTTTCATAGCGATATCCTGTAAGTAAAGCTGATCATATATAAAAATTCTCGAAGTTATTGATATGTCGATACTGATTTTATTTATATGTTGATATTCAGATTAAAGTTGTAAATTGGTTACAATTTAAGAAAAATCCAAGGGGTTTACGTGTTTTGTTGACCAGCTACTATTCATTTAGATTGATCAGAATAGACATTATTGAGCTTTCTGGCCTTCTTCACGTCCATATCGTCTTGGTTTAATGCATTCTTCCGTAAGTGTATTTTAGTCATATAGTCATAGATCTGGCAAAAACTTTTCGCAAACGTGTGGGAAAATATCTTAATATTGAAAAATACATATTTTTCTAAAATTCTAAATAAATGGAATTTTTAAAAATCATTTCTTTCACAATTTAAAAAAAAAAAAATATTTCGTAACTTTATATTATTATTGTAAGAAAAATCCTTGGATGCTTTTATTTAATCTTTCTTATCTTTTCTTTATACATATACCTATGTTTCAATTATGATCATACACATAGGTTATTTGTAGAATACGTTCCTTGGTCTATTTAATAAGCACTTATGAATTCACAGTATTTAAAATAATCTATTTGTGAAATCAATTAAAGTAATTGTTATTATTTATTTACTAATTTTTATTGATTATTATTGATTACTTTTATTCCTCGAATATTTAATTATGGTAAGGGAGGCTTCAGAAATTTTCTCTAAGGCACGGTATAATCTACCTTTAGTTTTATTTGAAATACTTATCTTTAAGAAATTGACCCTGAATGCCAAGAATGGTTTCCTTAATGAGCGGAAAAGCTTCATAGAAACATTGAAACTAGCGGTGCACGGCGTTGTGCCTTAAGTCAAATTTTTTGTACTTCCCGTACCGTAATTAAATATTCGAGGAATGAAAATAATCTTCATTCAATAAAAATTGATCAATGATTAATAACAATTGTTCTAAACATTATTAAATAAATTATTATAAATACTACAAATTTTATCATTTACGCAATTTACCTTATCACGCAAAATACTTAAGTATTTCTTAATTTCAAAGATATGATGACAGATACAGACTTTAGACCAGTGATTCCCAACCTTTTCTGGCCCCGCCCCACCTTGAGGTTTATAAAAACGTTATGCCCCCCCATACAATTTTATTTTTATTTCTTAATTTGGCAACTCCCAATAATTTTTAAACATTGCCAAATTGTTTCTACTAGCCGAATCGATTATTGCGTTAATTAGGTTGTCCAAAACTTTAACTGGACAATCAGAGCAGGATTAAGTCAAAAAAGTCGAGTCGATCCGGCAGAAAAAACTCCGGCACCAGGAAAGCAAGGTTGAAAACTAAAACCGTCCCGGTCAAACCGGGACACCTTATTATTCTAAATCTAAGAACCATTTTTTGTTAAATGTTTTACCGATACTATACTACATTACATTAAAATTACCAAAGTTTTCAAACTGCTCTCTTGAAATTACAAATTGCCCCCCGATGGAGCGTGCGCTTCACGTTGGGAAACACTGCTTTAGAGTCTCTCATATTTTTAAGATTGATTTGGATTAGACTAGGCATATAAATATGGGGCGTCCATTATCACGTGATCGATTTGTTTAGGATTTTTGAGCCTCTCGCCTCCTTGGTGATACGTGATGGTATTCAAAATTAGCCCCCTTCCAACATCAGGTGTATTTTTGAAGAAAAAGTTTGTTTTTAAAAAAAAAAACTTAGAGTAAAAAATGCATACACGTGATATCTTACTATACCCCTCTTCTGCCCTACATAATCTAGTACGGAACTTGCACGTGCACCAGTAATGCTGTAGGAAAAGATTACTGGCTTAACCTCAGATAATTCATTTGCCAGCATAGCGAAAACTACATATATCTTTATCTTTAACAAGAATTAACTTTGAATTAAAATTATATTATCATTATAAAATATTTGAACTGAAAAGATGATGCAGAATTGGAAGAATCATTATTCGTTTCAGCCAGAACGATAACATGGTCATTAAGACTAATATCCAAAAAAAGTTTCTCTGAGGCTTTTAGTCCAGTCATTTGGTGCAAAAAAATGCTGTTGCCGGTACAGTACTCCGGGAATTCTGAAAATTGGTAATTTTATAGATTTCGAGGTGCTCTTTACGAAAATCAACTTTGCCACCTCAAATTTGAACGGCAAGTTGCCGCCATATTGAAAAAATGGCGTCAAAAAACAGCTTTTTTAAAATATCTCCTTTCTGGCTCATTCTACGATAAAAGTATCTATGTACGAATTAAACTAGATAAAATTTCCTACAATTCCTCAAAAAACCGTTTTTTTGTAAAATTGATAGTTTGAGAGTACGGTCGCCTCAAAGTCTTTGCTGCTCTCGCCATAGTATCAAATCTCTCCATATATGACAGCACTTCGAACAGTTCGAACTTGACCACATTATCTCCAATAATTAATATTTTCAATGTTAAATTAAGCGAATAAGATCTAGAAATAAAATAATTCAAATATTTATCGTTTTTTTTGCTAATTTTTTAACACTTCAATGGCAAAGTAGCTATAAGTATACTTATAGCTTCAAGTAGCTTGAAGCGTTAAAAAATCAGCAAAAAAACAGAAAAATATTTGAATTATTTTATTTCTAGATCTTATTCGCTTAATTTAACATTGAAAATATTAATTATTGGAGATAATGTGGTCAAGTTCGAACTGTTCGAAGTGCTGTCATATATGGAGAGATTTGATACTATGGCGAGAGCAGCAAAGACTTTGAGGCGACCGTACTCTCAAACTATCAATTTTACAAAAAAACGGTTTTTTGAGGAATTGTAGGAAATTTTATCTAGTTTAATTCGTACATAGATACTTTTATCGTAGAATGAGCCAGAAAGGAGATATTTTAAAAAAGCTGTTTTTTGACGCCATTTTTTCAATATGGCGGCAACTTGCCGTTCAAATTTGAGGTGGCAAAGTTGATTTTCGTAAAGAGCACCTCGAAATCTATAAGATTACCGATTTTCAGAATTCCCGGAGTACTGTACCGGCAAAACGACCAAATGACTGGACTATTTGCTGAAAATTGAAAATTAGTAAATGCCCATCAATTTAAGTTCAAGTCTTTTTTCATTTACTAATTTTATACACATATAATTTCTTACGTTTTTTAAACCGAAATTATTCTTTTTAGCGGAGTACCTAAACCGGAACCTTTAATTATTTTCTTGACTGATGGTGATCCAACCGTTGGAGAAACTGATCTTAACAAAATTTATACCATGGTAGATGAAAGCAAAGTCAGTGATAAACCTCCTACTATTTTTTCTCTGGCATTTGGTAAGTCATTCAAGAAAATACTAACATTTTATTTATTAATAAAAATATGTATTGAAAATTATACATTTGATATCATTTAAATTTACCCTCAGTTATCATTATATATTATTGAAATCTATTAAGTGCAGTTTCTTATATTAGGTGATGATGCAGATAGAAACTTTTTGCGCAAAATTTCTTTACGTAATGGAGGATTTCTGCGACATATTTATGAAGCTGGTGACGCATCTAGACAATTGCAAAACTTTTACCGTGAAGTATCCTCTCCTTTGTTAGCGGGTGTTAAATTTACATATCCCTCGGATCAGGTATGATATTTTTTTCATTTCTATCATCGACTTTACGTTGAATTAAAACGTTCGATAAATTATTGGTATATACTATTTTGGAGTGGCATTTTGCTTTAAGGCAAGTTGGATGAACTTTCCGATACGTATATGATCAAGAACTAAATAAGCAATAATAATTGAGATTTATCTTTTTAGGTAAATTATTTACTGTCTATATCAATTTTTTTTTTGATTTTCTATACTATTTCGAATTGTTGCTTTTTATTAACTTCCCGTAGGGTAAGTTATAGTAATCGCAAAAAAATCGAAAATGAAAAATTTTATATATCTTTACGTTTCAGAGGTTTCTGAATATTTTGGCATACCTTAGAAAAGATGGATGTATGTGTGTATGTGTGTGTGTGTGCGTGTATGTGTGTGTGTGCGGATACAAATTTTCGTCGACGATTTCGGGAACACGGATGAAGCAATTTGAATAATTTAAAAAACATTCGATCCGTATTCATAAGGAGACGTGCTGATTAGTTTTTTGATGGAGGTAGGTCTAGCCGTTCCGATGATATGGGGCAAAAAGTGCCAAAAACGGTACCTCAGTTTTTAAGAGAACGGAGCGTCCGATTTTAATAATTCAAAAAACATGTTACTTGTATGGACGAGATGAAGATTTGATCAAATTTTCATAAGAGCAGGTCTAGCGGTTTCGGAGATCTAACGAAAAAATTAAAAAAAAATGCCATTTGGCGGTCAAAAATGATCATTAGACATATGCACATCAAATTATCAGATATTTTATAGAGATTTTAACAACAAGAATAAATTTTATTTACATTCCTATGGGTTCCGTACCAATGTTTACCCGTTAGACAGCGACGCGGCGCAGTACGATTGCTTTGAAAAAAAGTTCAGATCTTCCAACATATGTCAAAATAAAATAAACATTTTTTTTCAAAAAAAAAAAATAAGTTTTTTTTTTCAAGAAAAAAGTAATTTTTTGTCAAATTTATAGTTTCTCAAAAATCTTATTTTTTCGAAGTAATTTTTTTTCAAAAATGTTAATCGTTTAAAAAAAAATAATTTTTGGTACGGGAAGTTCCAGCAATTTGCCTTAAGGCACGATGCCCTAATTGCCTCAAGACAGAATTCCACTTACAGCTATTTACATTTATACTTGCAATTGCATAATTTAAATTAATTTAACACATTACATTTAATCTAAATAGTGACAAAAAGTTTCCGGAAGTTCTATATAAATCGTAAAATAGTTAACCTCATTCAATGTTTTTTTTTGTCTTCTTCAAAATATACCCCTTCTGAAGCAATACACATACACCAACGCTTCTTCGAAACTTCGAAACAATTTTCATAGGCATTGGTCGGTAGTTTTCTTATTGAAATATAATGTATTTAAGATGAATATTGTTTATGTTTATAAAACGTGTTTTCAAATTTCTTTATATATATATATATATATATATATATATATATATATATATATTATTTATTAACTTTCCGTAGGGGAAATTTTTTTACATTTATCGACGTTTTGAAGGTCTCTGAACGTTTTGGCATACTTCAGAAAAAATGGATGTGTGTGTATGTATGTATGGATACAATTTTTCGTCCACGTTTTCGGGCCACGGATCAACCGATTTGAATGGTTCAAAAAACATTCGATTTCTATCGATAGGGAGATGTGCTGATTAGTTTTTGGCAAAGGCAGGTCCAACAGTTGCAGTTATGGAGATAAAGAGCAAAGAGTGCAGAAAATAAAAACTGAGTTTTTGAGAGAACGGAGCATCCGATTTGAATGATCCAAAAAACATTCAATTTGTAATGACGGGGAGAAGCGGTGATTAGTATATGGCAAAGGCAGGTTCAGCGGTTTCGTAAATACAGAGCTAAATGTGCAAAAAATGGTAGTTTTTGAGGAAACAAGCGTCCGATTTGAATGATTCGAAGAACTTTCTGCTTGTTTTAACAAAATAATTGATTTTGGAAAAAAAATGTTTCAAATTTTTTTTTCAATTTTTTTTTTTTTTTCTGTATATCGAAAATAATTCAGATTTCTATATTAATTCTGTTCTAATATACCTTAAACAAATAATTTCAACTTTCCAATTCAGTTTATGTAATTTTTATAAATATTAGACAATGTTACAATATTTATAATAATCTATTTTAAAACATTTAATATTCCTCGATCATCTCGTTACAGTACGGGAAGTTCCAGCAATTTGCCTCAAGGCACGATGTCTTAATTGCCTTAAGACAGAATTCCACTTACAGCTAGTTTATTTTTCATTTCTAACTTCAATGTGTCACACTTAGGACATTCAGTAATTGTTTTGACCTTATTATATGGATTTCTGAACCGAATATTTGCTGACATTTTTATTATATACTAGCTGACCCGGCAAACATTGTTTTGCTAAGTAAGGTATATTCTAAACAAGTTCTACAGAATCAATAAAATTAATACTTTAAGTGTATAAGGATGAGTTGTTTCAATGCTATATACAATGAGGTATTATAAAAACAATAAATCCCATCAGTTTGTCTATATTTTATCAGTACTATCAAAATGGAAGATTTATACACTTTCTATAGGAAACATAGTATTATGCATCCAAGTCTTTTTTGGTCTTTCGACTTATTGATTACGTTTCAAGTTTTTCAGATTCTTTTTGGAATCTGGATTTTGTGTATAATTGTAAATAATGCTACTGAACTTATACAAAATTTTCAAATTTTTGCGAGGAGAGATAGAAAATAAATATTTGAAATTTACTTTACTGATTTTTGACACATCGGTGGTGGACCTTTTTAATCCCGGACCTTCATATATTACTATCTATTCTGCGATAAATTCTGGGAAATTATAACTGAAAAAATATTATTCGACAAAATGTCCATTTGATCGATACCAAATTTAGGTTCTGAATTTAAATAACATAAATAAAAAATAATATAACCTAGAAAGTATTTTATAAATACCAATGAGTATATAATTATACAAATGAGATCTTTCAGAGCACCGTGTTGGAGAAAAATATGCCAAAAAGTGCATTTTCATATTAACATATCAAAAAAATTTATATTTTGAGTCTCTAGTAACACTTGCGGCCCGTTTACTAACGTTTTTGTATATAAATAAAACTACAAACAAAACTACTTACTACAAATTTATCATAATTAAATAATATTCGCGTAAAACATCCTATTAAACGTAATTGAACATCATCTGTCAAAAGCGTTTGACATTTCACGAAATTGCCACCGTCCATTGTTTTATTTGAATTACGCTTCTACAAAAATTTTCAAATTAAAAATGTAAAGTTTCTACGCGGATTTTAAATAATTTCTCACCTTTTGGACTTTTTCTGGATTGGCACGAATTTTTCAAGATTAAGACTGGCCAAATCGATTCAGCCGTTTTCGAGCTTTATTCGGACATTTGAAAGAGAGCTCCATTTTTATATATAAGATAAGCAACTATATCGACGAGAGGCAATTTTTACTTGAGGCTATATTTGAGATCTATAACCTCAAGTGGAAATTTGACATCAAAGTTGCACGATGTCGGGCTTTGGCGGTAGTGGGAATCGAACCAGCGAATCCAGGACTAGTTAGTGATAGATATATTTTGTAAAGTAATAATTTATCCCGAGATGTTCGATAACCTAATAAAAATGATTTCTTCGACGAAATATTTATTATTAAGATATTTATTGTGCATAAAAATTGCAGATAGATGAACAATCACTGACGAGGCGGTCCTTCCCACATTTATTTATGGGCTCTGAACTAGTGGTAGCCGGGCGCATGCAATCCGACGCTGTAGAATTAGAACCAGAAGTGAAAGCTGTTGGAGCCTCCGGTTCGTGGTCAACTACGGGAATTGTCAAGTCTCCGGTAAAATATTATTAATCAAATATTTTTAACTATTTATATTTTTAAATAGAAAATCAGTTTGCGTTGCTCAATTCATTGCACTACGTACCTTATCAGTATTTTGTTAAAAGGAATTGCTATCAGTTAATAATCTGATTTTATAATAAAATAATGATTTATTATAAAATAAGAGTGTTATATATTAATTGTGTTAAATATACCAGCAAGGGTACACATCATATACAATGCTCATACGGTTTTGCATAATCGAAATAAATTTAATATTTATTAAATAAAATACTAAATTGTGTTTAATACAAAGAATTCCACATTGTTTAACTGTTAAATAGTAAAATTCTATGGAGTATGCGTATGTATTCGTCAACAATTCACACGCCAGTTCTGAATTTATTTTAGCACAGTTTCGTAAAGAATCAACAAATTCAACTAGTTCATCAACATGTTGATGTTCTATTGACTGCAGTCATTAGAAAATACTAACACCGTCAACAAGTGTAAAGGAAATTAAAGCTAAATCTAGCAATTTGTAACCGTTGATATTTTTTTCTATAAAACCTCTTATGTTGATAGATATCATGGTCCTAAAGAACATACTAAAATTTTACAGTCCTACGACAAGTAGTTTAATTTTAAAAGTTCATCAAAGTTTGATAAAATATTATAGTCAAAAGTTGCTTTTGTGATGTGATGACTTAAACATTGTCAATTCATTAAAATTTGGAATAATACGCTACAATTTTAGGACATACAAAGCACGTGTTGTGCTTTATAATTAATATAATTACAAATTTAAATGTGTTTGAGATATATCAATTCGAAATAGCAATGTTTAGATTTAATTGAAAGCGAATATTTTATTTTCGAAATATACAGCCAAAATAAAATTTTTACTAAATATAAAAGTCTCAATTCCCGTTGATCAAGTCAATTATTACACATTTCGGAAAAATCGTGCAACTTGCCACTTTCAACTAGTTTATAAGTGTTAAGGATAAATATTAGTTTTTTAACTTCCCGTAGGGTAAGTTATAGTAATCGTAAAAAAACGAAAATGAAAATTTTTATATATCTTTACGTTTAAATTTTCCACGATTTCGGGAACACGGATGAAGCGATTTGAATAATTAAAAAAACATTCGATTCGTATTGATAAGGAGACGTGCTGACTAATTTTTGGCGAAGGCAGGTCTAGCCGTTCCGAAGATATGGGGCAAAAAGTGCCAAAAACGACAACTCAGTTTTTAAGAGAAAGGAGCGTCCGATTTGAATAATTCAAAAAACATTTTACTTGTATTAACAAGATGAAGAACTTATTGAATTTTTGGGAAGGCAGGTTCAGCGGTTATGGACTCTAAATAAAAATAATTTTAAAAAGTGTCATTTGGCGGTAAAAATGTTTATTGGACATATGTACATCAAATTATCAGATATTTTATAGAGATTTTAATAATGTGTACACATTTTTTTGGGTCCTGTGCCAAGATTTTAATTACGGGGAAGTTCCAGCAATTTTCTTCAAGGCACGATGTCATGCCCCCCACTAGTTTTAGTTATAGTTGATATATATTAGCTCTGTAATTTATAGTCATTTGACTCTAATTGTTATAGTAAAATGAAATAAAAATAATAAAAGACAACATTTTACAGATTGCACCAATTCGAGTACAACACAAGCCCGCTCCATTAGAAAGGCTTTGGGCATATTTGATGATCAAGCAATTGCTGGACGAAAAGGATTCGCAAATCGATATTGATTCAACCCATAAAGTCGATGAGGTGCCACATGCCGAACCGAACGCTTTGCAACCAACTAATACGAAAGATACGGCCAAAGGACAGGCTTTGAAACTTGCACTCAAGGTGAGATGCATTAATTAATAAATGAATAATAATAAATAAATAATAAATAAATTGCTGGAACTTTCCGTACCAATTTTTTTTTTAAAGATTAACATTTTTGAAAAAAAATTACTATTGAAAAAAATTTACTTGTTTTTGAAAAAAAGACTTTTTGAAGAAAAGTGTATTTTGAAATATTTTGGAAATTCTGAACTTTTTTTCAAAACAATCGTACTGCTTTAACTGCATAGAGACGAAATATCGAAGCGCGTAAGCGGCGCGCCTCCGTCTAACGGATAAGCATTGGTATGGAACCCATAGAAATGCAAAAAAATATACTTATTATTAAAATATCTATAAAATATCTGATAATTTGATTTGCATATGTCTAATGATCATTTTTGACCGCTAGATGGCATTTTTTTTTACTTTTTTACTAGATCTCAGAATCCGCTAGACCTGCCGTGATGTAGATGATCACTTGGTCATCTTGTTAATACAAGTAAAATGTTTTTTGAATTATTCAAATCGGACGCTCCGTTCTCTTAAAAACTGAGTTACCGTTTTTGGCACTTTTTGCCCCATTTCTTCGGAACGGCTAGAATTGCCTTTGCCAAAAACTAATCAGCACGTCTCCTTATCAATACGAATCGAATGTTTTTTGAATTATTGAAATAGCTTCATCCGTGTTTCCGAAATCGACGAAAATTTGCACCCGAACACACATACACACACGCGCACACACACATACACACACATACATCCATTTTTTCTAAGGTATGCCAAAATGAGAAAAAAATGTATAACCAGCCTTCGTCTTAATTCCTACGACGTCGCTATCGGGAGGAGCTAAACAGCTATGTTTGAAAATCTATAACAAAAGTATTTTCTTTTTTAACTTCCCGTAGGGTAAGTTATAGTAATCGCAAAAAATCGAAAATGAAAATTTTTATATATCTTTACGTTTCAGAGGTTTCCGAATATTTTGGCATACCTTAGAAAAAATGGATGTATGTGTGTGTGTGTGTGTGTGTGTGTGTGCATGTGTGTGCGGATACAAATTTTCGTCGACGATTTCGGGAACACGAATGAAGCAATTTGAATAATTTAAAAAACATTCGATCCGTATTGATAAGGAGACGTGCTGATTAGTTTTTGGCGGAGATAGGTCTAGCCGTTCCGAAGATATGGGGCAAAAAGTGCCAAAAACGGTACCTCAGTTTTTAATAGAACGGAGCGTCCGATTTTTATAATTCAAAAAATATTTTACTTGTATTAACAAGATGAAGATTTGATCACATTTTTATAAGGGCAGGTTTAGCGGTTTCCGAGATCTAACGAAAAAAGTAAAAAAAAATGCCATTTGGCGGTCAAAACTGATCATTAGACATATGCACATCAAATTATCAGATATTTTATAGAGATTTTAACAATAAGTAAAAATTTTGTTTACATTGCTATGGGTTCCGTACCAATGTTTACCCGTTAGACAGCGACGCGGCGCTTACGCGCTTTATATTTTGTCTCTATGCATTTAAAGCAGTACGATTGCTTTGGAAAAAAGTTCAGATCTTTCAAAATATGTCAAAATATAGAAAACATTTTTAAAAAAAAAAAAATTTAAAAAAATATTTTTTTTTTATTTTCTTTTTTTTTTAATTTTTTTTTTTCGAAAAAAAGTAATTTTTTGTCCAATTTATAGTTTCTCAAAAATCTTATTTTTTCGAAGTAAATTTTTTTCAAAAATGTATCGTTTTTAAAAGATAATAATTTTTGGTATGGGAAGTTCCAGCAATTTGCCTTAAGGCACGATGCCCTAATTGCCTCAAGACAGAATTCCACTTACAGCTAGTTTGTTACTTTTTTGGTTGTTAGCACTGTTGTTTAGATTACGAGACTTCAATATAATTTTTAAGTATAGCGTATACTTAAATACTATAATTTAATTGTTTTATAAAATGTATTGTTAACATTTAGTTAGATTCAACCGTTTTTTTATATAATTTTCATGAAAAATAAGACGTGGGTGGGGTAAGAAGGACCAACTGAACCTTTATCCTGGCAATGGTGTAAACAATGAAAAATAGTAAATAAAAAAGTAAATCAAGTTAAAACAGAAGTTTCACAAGTGATAAGTTAAATAAATATTTATTCCAATCTTGCTGGTGATTTTTTTTATGAAATACCACATCAAGGTTGTATACAGTATTATTTCTGAAAAAAAATGTACCTTTGAATTTTGTATTTTACATTGGTTGAATAATCTAGATATTATTTCGCAATTCTTCATAATTAAACATTAAATTATAAAATACCATAAAATTAAACATTTGATCTTTTTACCTCGTGGCCGTCTCATTTTACCCCGTCCATGGGATAAAAAGGACCAGGTTACAATTTTTGAAAATTAGCAAAATTTACATATCTTTGAAATGATGAATTAGCTGGGATTTTTACTGAACATAATCAGATAGTTGTTTGTTTAATATGTGGTATTTGTTATGATGTAATTGGTTTGGTTGTCATAATATAATTGCTCAAAGTCAAAGCGACGAGTAAGTTATGGTAATAGTTCAAAAATTAAAAATGGAAATTTTTGCATATTTATAAAAAATTAACTTTTTGCATACTTTATAAAAAATTTGATGTTTGTGTTTTGTGTAGATACAATTTTTCGTTCACGATTTCGGACTCATGGGTTTTGCTTGTATTGACTAAACATCATTTAAACTTCAAATTTGTTTTTTTTTCTTGTTTTCATTTCCACAAAATATTTTTTTATCGAACATAATTTAGATATTAATTTTATTTCTAGCTAATTTCTAAAGCCTATTTATATATTTAAAATAAATAATTTTAACTTTGCAATTCATTTTATATAATTCTTAAAAATAAGAGAAATTCTCTTCATTTGCTTTTCATGTAAACTATTAGAAACATTATCGTCTAATTCACAAGCTTTTATATTGCATCTATAAAATACGAATAATGAAAGTTTCAGTGCTTACAATAATATATAAGAAAACTTTTGAAATTTTTCGATTATTTTATTACGGTACGTGAATTCCAGCAATTTGCAAAGGCACCAAGTTTCGAAAACTTGATTTTTTTGAAAATATTGATTTTTTTTTAAATTTAAAAATGAAAATATTTATAATTGAGAAATAAAGAAAATTTTAAATTTTCGGAATAAATTCTTTTTTTTAATTTTGATTTTTATGAAAATTTAAAAAAAAATCAGACTAGTTTAATTCAAAAATACTACGTGTGGCGTAGAATTTTATCAATCTTTGAACTTAAAAAAAAACGACTTCTTTGAAAAATTAGAAATTTTTAGGAAATTTGAAAATTTTGTTTTTTTTAATCTAGTTTTTTTTTAAATCCGTTTTGATAATTAAGTTAAGTCGTAGGGTAAGTTATAGTAATCGCAAAAATGGCAACTTTTTTATATATCTTTACGTTTCACAACTTTCTGAACATTTTGGTGTAATCTGCTTTTACAAAAATTTCTTGATTTGTCAAATCAGCTCGTCTCCTTGTCAATTAGTACTGAACGTTTTTCGAACAATTGAAATAGGTTAATCCGTGCTCCAGAATAGGTTGACGAAAAATTGTATTCACGCATAAATACATACACACACATGCATACATTCATTTTTTACGGTATATTAAAACGTTTAAAAGCCTTCAAAATGTAAAGATATACAAAACAATTAGCCATGAGGTTTTGAGTAGAGAATTCTAGTATTACTAATTTTGCACAGAATGTTTGTTACTTACTAACTTATATATGTGAATACTTTAGTTTACATTTTGTTTATTTTAGTACTCGTTTGTAACACCGCTGACTTCCCTTGTCGTTGTGAAACCGAATGCAACGGACAGCTCAGTTGATACAGAGACTGCAAAACCAGGTAAAAACGACCTTAACTTATTCTATAAAAAACTATTTCTATAAAGTCTTCCTACATTCACGGGTGGCAAGGTTAGCACTAGGGAATGCAATATTAGTATACCGATATACCGAAATACCGGTATAACGCTCGATTTTTCGGCGATATTAATACCGGTTGTTTAGTAAAATTGACCATTCGGTTTGAATGGCCAAAGGTACTTTTGTCAAGATAGATTAAAAGTGTTTAAGAAGTTCGTGATCTATCTGGGTCCTGCCGAACTCTATTGAACACTTGCACTTTGTTGAAGGACCAGATATATTTAGTTGTTGGCTATATCAGACCGTTTGAATAATAAATAAAAGATGATAAATAAATGTTTAATTATCGTATATTTGAAAGAATATTAAGACTTATAGATGATTAGATAGCTGAAGTTTGAATAATTTAACACATCGGATACAAACAGTTTATTATTTTATAATAATAGTTATTATTATATTAAAAAATAGAGTTTATTATAATAATGTAATATGATCTTTTATGAATTTTTCGTCTTTTTTACTCATACGTGGTGAAAAGTACTCAATATACTTGATACTGATAACTTATTAATTAAATTGGATATAATTTTGTTAAATTATTATTAAAAAAAACCTATTGTTTTTTTAATTGTTTAGTTAAATATAGTTGTAATTGTATATACCATTTTTTATATTTGTACTAGTAACTCTCAATTTTGTTTACGTTTGTTTATGATAAAAAAATACCGGTATATTACCGGTATTCCGGTTTTAACATGACCGAAATTACCGAAATACCGGAATTTTTTTTATTGGTATTGCATTCCTTAGTTAGCACGTCACTTCGTAATACTACACGCCATAGTTTGAGTTGGATTAATAATGGTTTCATATGCTATATTAGGATACAAAATTGTAAGTGTTTTATTACTATTATTATTATTATTGTTTTTCCATGAAATTTCCTTTCATATAATTTATTTAGTTTCAATTTTTATAGTTAATCTGATTACCACTGAATGATGGCTAAGATGCTAGCCGAAACGTACGGATTTTAAATTTTTAAATTTTTAAAATTTTTTGAAAAAACTCTCATACTATTTTTATTGATGTTACGCCCGAATATTAAACTCAAATTAAACATATATATCAACATCAAATTCAAGACTATTCAAATATATATATATATATATATATATATATATACACCTAAGTCTGTTTTTACACGGTCTTTTTGTACACGGTTTTGATATAACACGGTTTGAAAATTGATTATTTTTAATTTTTTTACACGAATTTATTCCATTTAGCACGATTTGAAATTGTATATACCTAAATTTTTTTTGTCAAATTAAATTTTTGCGAAGTATGTTCATATCACAAAAAAGTATTTATGAAAGAAAAAAGTCTGAAACCATCGATAGTATCGATAGTTTGCGAACACTAGCTTAAAGATTTAAGTGAATTCTCCTTTAGCGCATACAAACAATTTTTACTGTTCAAAGCAAATGTGAATAGCACTAATTTAATTCTTGTTCTTAAAAATTCTTGTTTTTCACCAATTTTAATAGGTTTTAGAGATTAGGAACAAATCACCCATTTTTGTATAAGATCAATGTCTTTTTTTACACGTTTTTTTACACGGATTCTTCTGGAACCAATCTCCGTGTAAAAACAGACTTAGGTGTATATATATATATATATATATATATATATATATATATATATATATTATTTAATTATAGAGTAAGTGTACATAGAGGCATTGGCACGGAAATGAATAGTTTTCAAGAAAATTGTCCAAAACATCCAATAATTATTTAATACATCCAGTAATTATTTCGCTAATAATATTGAAAATACTGAAGGCTCGTTAAACTTACCTACCAAATCGATGTTGTAGAATAAGGCTATCGTAGAACATGTACAAACTTGTAACAGCCATTTTTAAAAATCGATAGAATTAAGGGGGTTTTTCCGCATAGGAGAACAGAACACAAAGGGTTTTGTTTACCATTTCAGAAACACATTTAGAAGCTTTGTGAAAATACCTATTTATAATTCTAATTATCCGGATGGTTTAACTCACAACGGTAGTGCAATTTCAATGAAATTTTCAATGAAACTGATCCTGATTTTATTTTCCTAGTTTATATTCAAGTCCCCAACATTGTAGTAGCCACTATCATTGAAGAGCTCTGCAACAAAATTATAATTTCCGCAGTTTACTCACCATCATGGGCACAATTCAATGGGCATAAGTAATTGAGCACTAAATTTATTGGTTAGAGCGGTCAGTTATGGATCATTCGAAATGGATAGCAAACTAAAGGCATCGAAGAACTGATAGTTCATATACCCCCAATACAAGAAAGTGACATGACCTGGGCTAGAAGCAGCGTCTGAAAAGTTGAAACATTTTCTGAGTATGGTAGACTGGGTGTGGTAGTGCCAGGCTATAGTCGTGATAGTCGTCATAATGGGTAAACTATAATGAATTTGTGACTCGGTCCAAGTGCAAAAAGATGTATTATATTCGTTTGAACAAGTTCTCATGATTGGACGCGCGGTATGTGTTGGAAGTTCGCTAAATAATTCTGAAACCCCTTCAAGAGAATCTATACAGTGTGTTGAAAAGAGTATTGCTGATACGATATGGCATTTCTAGTAAAAGAACACTACGCCAGTTGTTAGAACGTCAGGAAATGGGTAATAGATCTCAATCGCAGTTTCTCAATCGCAATTCGAGATACTGGTTAACGTCGGACCAGGGAAGGCAGTTTGATTAAGCAGATTTATTCAACTTAATCAGCTGCTTGGCACGACTCATTACACGGCGTATTATACCAAAGCCAATGGAATCGCTGAAATATTATAGCTCAAAGCAATTATAAGATGTCACAGCAGTGATAGATATACAGAAATATAATCAACCGTTATGTTTAGAATTCGTGCAGCATGAAAGAGGATCTGCCTTACGATTGTCAGGACCGATGCTGGACTTCTAGAGGATCCATATGAAGGTCCTTTTAAAGTGAAATCCAGATCAGCGAGGACTTTTGTGGCATGTATGCGTGGCAAAGTTGTCAAATTGTTTGAAACCAGCACACGCCAGAAGAAACTGCTAAATTTATTCCGTCGCTGTCTAATGAAATTCCGCGAATAATCCAGCTAGAATCTGATAACAACAGCAGATCTCAACCGTCGAGCCTGACAGAGCCTGAGCCAATTGCACAACTAAACCCTTTAACGTGAGGAGGACGGCTAGTTCGATATTTGGCAAACTGCATTTTTGTAAACTTTGTCACTAAGAGGGGAGTACTGTAGGCGAATGGCAACGTCGCCATCGCAAGAGTCGTGCCGTATAGCATTGCTCAACTAGTTAGTCGGTCTCGGTCCCGGTTAGTTCTCCTCATAGACTATCATACGCGTTTTATCGGTAAATATACAAAACTAGCAATTAGTTGTTAGCTCAGTCATAACGATGATTTGTTTTTAAATGCATGCTTTGGGTACAGTTGCGACAAATTTTTGTGGGTACGGTTGTTGTATATTTTTGATGTATTTTTTAGCTGAAAAAATGAACATGTAAAAAAATCTAACTGAACTAACGAAACCTCATACCCTGAAGCTAGGGGTGGTGCAAAATATGCCATTGAATCAATCTAATTGGAAACCCCGTTCTTGCAAAACCTGATAAATCTATTTTTGCAAACTGATAAATCCTTTTATTCATTTATTTATCTATTTATTTTATTTTATTTTTAACTTTTCGTGGGGTTAGTTATAGTAATTGCAAAAAAATCCGGAATAAACATTTGTATGGGTTCCGTAACATTATATCCGTTTGACTGCCACGCAGCGCTTACGCGCTTCGACATTTTGACTCTACACAGCTAAAGGCAGCACGATTGCTCTGAAAAAAGGTCAAACTTGTCAAAACAATTCAAAACATGACAAAATAGATTTATGTATGTGTGTATGTATTTATGTAAGTTTTGGGACACATTTTTATTTCTATCACAAAAACCATAACGCCCACTTTTGTGGCTGCTGCTTCAAACTATTGCACCAAAACCGTTTAGTATTTCGTTCTTTATATACTGTTTATTCTCTGATTCCAGTCGAGACGCAAAAATGACAGCCCAGTCACTTTACCACTTGGCTACGACTGAACTGATAAGAGTGCACATTGCAAGCTATGTATAGCGCACGCTACTAAAATGCAAACTTTAATTAATTTTTATAATTAAACCGCTTTTCATAGGCCTCTAATATTTTACCACGGTCAGTTTGGGCATAAAATCTACCATTGTGCTAAATTTCATCAAAATCCGAGACGAGCAATGCGCGGGTTCTCCTTTTGAGTTTGTTGAAATTGGGCTTGTTGACAAATTATTAATTTTTTACCATTTGGAAGGACAAAATATATAAATATTCTCTTTTTCTCATATTGCAGTTTTTCTTGCAACCATTTATCACCGTCGTGTTTATTTCGACAACGTTCAATATGACATAGAAACCATAATTGACCATTCTCTATTATTTCTTGCATATTGTGACGAGTGAGGGTTGAAGCCCCCTTCTGGGGTATGGCATCGACTGCCAAAAATTATTGATTTTCTACAAATTGGAAGGACAAAATATATAAAAATTCTCTTTTTCTCACATTGCAGTTTTTCTTGCAATCATTTATCACCGTCGTGTTTATTTCGACAACATTCAATAAGACATAGAACATCATAATTGACCATTCTCTATTATTTCTTGCATATTGTGACGAGTGAGGGTTGAAGCCCCATTCTAGGCTATTGATCGACTTCCAAAAATTATTGATTTTCTACAATTTGGAAGGACAAAATATATAAAAATTCTCTTTTTGTCATATTGCAGTTTTTCTTGCAATCATTTATCACCGTCTTGTTTACTCCGACAACATTCAATAAGACATAGAACACCATAATTGACCATTCTCTATTACTTCTTGCATATTGTGACGAGTGATGGCTGAAGCCCCCTTCTAGGGTATTGCATCGACTGCCAAATATTATACTTTAGAATTGCATCCCCATTACAAAAGGGTTTACTCCAACTCCTTAACTCGACTTCTAAGAACGCCCTGCAATTACCTGTGGAAACTGATCCGGCGCTTCCACTATTGTAACGAGTGAGGTTTGAAGCCTCCTAGTAGGGTATTGCAACGACTGCCAAATATTATATTTTAGCATTGCTCCAACTACTTAACTCGACTTCTAATATCGCCCTGCAATTACCGCTGGAAACTGATATAACTAATACACGAATGAAACAGAATGTACTTACTATCTTATTTAATTTAATTAATTATGGTTACAGGTGTGAGGGTATGACTGTTCCTACGAAAAGTCATGCCCTATGCCTAAACTCTAACTTACTAATAAATCTTCATTAATTACTAGGAAGGAATAGCTAATAAACAATAGTATCTGACCTTTGCTGCGACTGGTTCTTCTCTCTGGCACAACACACACACCACTATACATAAGCGGGTCCAAGGACCCAACCGACCTCCTCGGAGGATGTTACATTTTCTAATATTCTTTTAACCTTCGAGTTGGACCTTATATTGCAGGAACCCTAGTAGAACTGGGTGAGGGATGTCTTTTTTACTGAGGGTTGTGTAATTCTTTGGCGACAATGCCTATTGTCATTACAATATCGTGAGTAATGCACAGTTTGTTAACTGCCTCAACCCCTTCTATCGTATTATTATAAAATTGATAATTTAAATAGTATTAGGATACATTAAATTGTATTACATAAAATAAAAGCTCACATTTTGTCGTTTTTTTAATATTCAACTAAAATATCGTATTCGTTTTTAAGACGTAATTACATGCGTGAGACTCACACTCTGCATTGGCTGATAAACTTGTAACGGCTATAGATCTATGTTACGTGAAATTGGGAAGATACTGAGGGAGCAAGAATTTGATTCAAAAGGAGGCATAGTAGAATATTGTCGCAAAATTTGTCTTTTTGCGGACTGAAGATTAAATAGCGTACGAGGTCTGTTCAAAAAGTACCCGGAATTTTCGTTTTTTCAAAAAAATATTTATTTATTCGTCTACATTAATGTGGTCCCCTTCAAAGTAGTCCCCCCCAGATATAATACACTTATGCCAGCGTTTTTTCCAATTTTCGAAGCACCCTTGATATTCACTTTTTGATATGTCCTTGAGCACTCTCAGCGATTCGGCCTTTATTTCTTCAATCGAGGAAAACCGCCGTCCTTTCATGGGTCTCTTCAACTTTGGGAATAGGAAAAAGTCACACGGAGCCATATCTCGTGAATTTTTGCACTTTGCAACACTTTATTTCATTTTTTACGCAAAATTTAATACAAATTCTTTGACTTTTCAATTCTTCCATTGTAAAAATCGCCGAGCTCAGAAAAACACGTCGAACCTTAGCGACTACCACAGACAAAGTAAACAGTGAATATAGCTGAAAATTTCATCATACTTTAGGGGCATGTATACCAACACAATAAAAAAAAAATTTTGACAATCAGACACTCCAGACCCGCGAAATTTAATTATTAGTAATTCCGGGTACTTTTTGAACACACCTCGTATATTGATATGGAATAAAGTTGTGGGTATGAGCTGTACTACCGATGCTAAATGGAGTAGTCTGGACTCTCCTTGTCCACATCGTCAGTCGTTGGTCCAAACCTTTTCAACTATGGAGTAGAATCTTGGCCAACTCAGAGCCTGACGTTGTTGGTCGAGCAGTAGGTTGTATGAATGATAATTAGTTACTGGTTTATACGTTCTCTTCGGAACCGTGAGCACTTTGAATAGTAATAGGCTCAACGAGTATACTAGTATAGTGAAACATTGAGATATAATTATTTCAAACGCTTTATCTAACTTTTATACTTTTTCTTAGCTAACTCCACCTTATTAGTTGAACATAATGACAGGGCCTGTTTCTATGACATACTTAGATGATACATTTTGCATGGACGATCTAACTGTATTTATCAGATCTTGGGCGTGACAATCTTTTTGAAAGGACAGTTCCGCATTCGCGCTCTGGCCATGTACATTACACAATAATATACTATGACTATATTTACAATAATATAATCTTTGAACCTTCTTGTCTATAAAGACTTTTTGATGGTAATTTCAAAATGAATCAATTTTTTTTTTTTATGAATTCGAATTAATTATATATATAGTTCTGAAATGTAAAAATAGATCGCTTACATATTATTTTGGAATTTAGTATTAATTTTCTTAAATATTAAAATATGGTTTTCAGGTTCCAACGGCGGGCATGCGTTACCATTATCATTTGCTGCTCCTTCAAGTAAGTTCTATTTATTTTATTTTATATTGTTTTAAGTGATGGGATGTTTGAGTAGTACTTAATTATCGGTTTTATTAAGACATAGTATTATGCTTCTATAGTACATGTGGGTAAAGGAATTATTTAGCTTTATATAATATTGCTTATAATTGTAGTTTATTTAATTGTATATTATGACTTCAATTTACTTCTCTTTGAGAAATCAGATGTTTAACAAACCGGTACGTAACGAGTTTATTTTGTATTTGAATTTATTTATATTATAAATATGATATTTTTTACAAATCATAATAGAAATTAGATTTTTTGTATCATAAACGTTTTGCGGTGCTGAATTTGGAGAAAATTAAACCGACGCTGTTCAAAGTGGCTGAAGCAGATTTTTTTTGCTTTATTCAAATATTTTTTTCTCAAGTTCTGATTTAAGCTAGCAGATACACTACGATATTAATATCAGTATCTGTTTTATTTATAGTATTTTGCAATGTATGTATTGAATTATATATATATATATATATATATATATATATATATTGAAATACAAATTAGCTTCGGATTTATCTTAGGTATTGTTTTGCAGTGTCACACAGATCGTCTCCGGTCAATTTTGGTGGAGCGTATTTCAGTAAGATTCGAACTCGTGAGTAGACATCACCGCAGATTTTACCGATTTAATAAACTAAAATTTCGGGAAACATCTCAAGTGTATATTTGAAAAATTTTACTATTCTCACTTAATTAAATTGCATTCAAATTTGTGAATACTATGCTCGAACAAAATCCTAACGTAAAAGAAGGTAAATGAAGGAAACTTTAGTAATAATTAATTTGATTTTTTTTGACAAAACTATGTTTTAATTTTGAATTTTAGCCCAGCATTTTATTTAAATGCTTTTAAAAACAGTTTGTGCTTATACTGAAAACCCACTCATAAGATTTTATTATTGCGACCTTTCACTCGTTTTTATGATTTTTTTGGATTGTAGATAATCTAGTAAAAATAATTACTTACAGTATAATTAGTAGTGGTGAATTAAATCGGTTCAGAAAATTTTTCATAGCATATGGAAAAGATTATGAATAAATATTTATAACATTTGCAACAACTATTATCATAAAAAATAAATTTATTTCATTGGCATGTTCTGATTAATACTAACCATGAAAAATATCTCTATTAAATGTTTCTACTAATTATCAATAACCATGAAAGAACTTTCATAATTTGTTGGATGAATTTACATTTGGTGGTAGTTATATAATTTTTTGTTCGAACTAATTCTTATTGAGGTTTAAAACAATTTTATTATTTGTTTCATTTCTTTTGAAATAATGTGCATTATATTCATTCAATTGCTCTCATAATTAATAATAAACGGAATATGCATATTGAATGAATCATTTATGTATTCATGTGCATGTATTACTGATTAAATGCTCAATAATGGCCTGATTGCTAACGCATGTATTGTAAAAAGTGTTACTGAAAGTGTTCTGAATTTTTGTTTTGTTTTAAACCTCGGTTCAAATATAAATCAATTTTATTAGACTATTTTTATTTATTCTTAAAGCCTTAGAGGTACGCCAGTTAGAAGATTTACCACCTATATATCAAAGACCAGTAAAGTTAAGAATTTAAGAATTTAAGAACCAGCCATCACCTCGATACTCAGCACGTTGCTATCGCGAGAAAAACAGCATTTTTGAAAATCTATAAGAAAAGTATTTTACCCTCCTTACACGAATCTCTATTATATAGTTTATTATTAGCCATGTTAGTAATCGAATAAGATTTAATCACGCTTTCAGTCACTGAATTTTAATTCATACTTTTGATCTTATAATACTGCATGAATTTTATTTAAAAACAAAACAATTTATTTTAATCACGAGTCATCCACCCCTCCAGTTTTTCCAATATAGAAATATTTTCTGATGCGCACAAACAGTACATAATTGATGAATTGTTTGCATAAAGAGCAATTTTTTCAAAATAAATAAAGAATCTGAATATTAAAATCTGAAGACAAACACTTTTTGATAGGGAGTAGGTAGGATACAGATAATTTATAACAAAGCTGTGACATTTTCCACTCTTTCAATTTTTTTCAATCTCATTCTCAGTCAATTCGCTGTGCATACCACATAATAATATGATTAACAACTGCCTGAACGGATTTTGCATCATAATTCAAAAATTATTGAATTAATAAAAAGCGCGCTAATAAACGATCGACTTATATGAATATACAAGAATTTTGGTTATCTCTGGATTTGGGAAAATTTAGTTTAATAATGTGCACTATTACATAGTTTCCTTTTATTATTATAGTCAATTTTAATTAAGCATTCATACAATTTTAATAAATACACAATTCCAACAATTTGATTCTGATGTATACTTGACTCATTCACGTACATATTTACATACTTTAACTTTCCATGTAGTATAAAACCACCTGTGCAGAATGTAGATTAGATATTATATAGTCATAGTGAGAAATGTTCAGATTAAGTAATATTCCATAGAAAAATTTGAGGTATGTGTATATGTGTGTGCAGTATGTATGTACGAGGTCTGTTCAAAAAGTACCCGGAATTTTCGTTTTTTCAAAAAAATATTTATTTATTCGTCTACATTAATGTGGTCCCCTTCAAAGTAGTCCCCCCCAGATATAATACACTTATGCCAGCGTTTTTTCCAATTTTCGAAGCACCCTTGATATTCACTTTTTGATATGTCCTTGAGCACTCTCAGCGATTTTCTTCAATCGAGGAAAACCGCCGTCCTTTCATGGGTCTCTTCAACTTTGGGAATAGGAAAAAGTCACACGGAGCCATATCTGGTGAATTTTTGCACTTTGCAACACTTTATTTCATTTTTTACGCAAAATTTAATACAAATTCTTTGACTTTTCAATTCTTCCATTGTAAAAATCGCCGAGCTCAGAAAAACACGTCGAACCTTAGCGACTACCACAGACAAAGTAAACAGTGAATATAGCTGAAAATTTCATCATACTTTAGGGGCATGTATACCAACACAATAAAAAAAAATTTTGACAATCAGACACTCCAGACCCGCGAAATTTAATTATTAGTAATTCCGGGTACTTTTTGAACACACCTCGTATGTATGTTTAGATACATTTTTGTCTACGATTTTGAGAGCACAGATTAACGGATTTGAATGATTCAAAAAACTATGACGAAGGTAGGTTTAGCCGTTTAGGAGAATCCAGGGAAAAATACAAAAAATTGCAATTCATTTTTTGAGAGAACGGAACGTCCGATTTTAAATATTCAAAATCTTGTTTTGACGAAATGAGGAATTAATTAAAATATTGTGAAAGCAGATCTAGCGGTTTCGAAGATTAAAATAAACTGTTAAACTAGTGGGGTGTATGGCATCGTGCCTTAAGGCAAATTGCTGGAACTTCGCGTACCGTAACGATATGTTCGAGGTATACTGAATGTTTTAGATAGATTATTATTAATATTGTAACATTGTCTAATATTTATAAGAGTTATATAAACTGAATTGCAAAGTTGAAATTATTTGTTTAAAGTATATTAGAACTATAGTCAGAATTATAAATAAAATCTGAATTATTTTCGATATACAAAAAAAATTTTTTTTGAAAAAAGTTGAAACAAATTTTTTTCCCCCAAAATCAATTATTTTGTTAAAACAAGCAGAAAGTTCTTTGAATCATTTAAATCGGACGCTTAGTTCTCTCAAAAACTGCCATTTTTCACACATTTAGCTCCGTATCTTTGAAATGGCTTGGCCTGCCTTTGCCAAAAACTAATAACCACCTGCTCCCAATCACTACTAATTGAATGTTTTTAGGTCATTCTAATCGGATGCTCCGTTCTCTCAAAAACTCGATTTCTATTTTCTGCACTCTTTGCTCTTAACTGATGGTCCATAACTGATGGACCTGCCTTTGCCAAAAACTAATCAGCACATCTCCCTATCAATAGGAATCGAATGTTTTTTGAACCATTCAAATCGGTTGATCCGTGCGCTCGAAAACGTGACTGGAAATTTGTATCCATACATACACACACACACATCCATTTTTTCTGAGGTATGCCAAAATGTACAGAAACCTTCAAAACGTCGAGAAATGTAAAAATTTTCAATTTCGATTTTCGGCCCATTACAATAACTTACCCTACGGGAAGTTAAAAATGCCACATTGCGGTCGAAAATTATCATTAGACATATGCACATCGAATTATCAGATATATTGTACAGATTTTAATAATAAGTACAATATTTGTTATCATTGCTATGGGTTCCGTTCGAAGTTATTTAATGTATAAAGCTCACTTATATAGCTCAATCAAATCTCGACAATTTGGACTTGAACATGTTTAGAAAATTTCAAGAAATTACATTTTTCAATTTTCAACAAAACTAAAAAAATCTTAATTCTCCAAATAGTCATTTTTTCCCAAAAATTACAAAATTCTCAAAGAAACAATTTTTCAATTTTCAAAAAAAATTAAAGCTTTTGAAATTTTGAATTACAAGCCACCACTAGTTTCCTTTATTATTATCCAAAATAGAGCCACAATTTCGGACACGCCTATACGATTAAAATATACACCCACAATTTTTAAACATCACATTCAATATGTTATAGTGAAAACAAAAATTGGGAGCACATAAAAATATTTATCTAGAAGAATATTAGTTTTTTTTGAAAATTTTATTATTTTTCAAATATACGTAAAGTGATGTTTACTGTCCTAACACAAATTATTTGAAAAAATTATACGATTTTTTTTTTGTAAAAACATGTATATATTGAAAGACAAAATATTAAGCTTTGACGAGTTTCTGGTTTTAGGTGTAAGTGGCGGTCCCGGTTTATTTGCTTTTGCCGGTCAACCTGCTTCTGGGACTTTTCCCTCTAGTTCTAGTTCTTTGGTGCTTGGACCTCCTGGTATGTCGATCGCTGGTATCGGAGGTGGTTTTGCGGGTGTTGATCGTGTTGATTGTAAGTTTGTGTTAATGTTTTCAAAACCAATTAATTATTCGGTTTGTTTAGATATTGAAGAAAACTAGCTATAAGTAGTACTTTGCCTTAAGAGAATGTGCTAATATTTAATCATTAATAAATGAGATTTAGCTTCCTAAATAAAATTTTTAATTTTTTTTTAAAGAATATAGATTTCGTTTTCATTAAGAGCCTATCAGTTTGATTTGAAATCAGTTTCAAACAAAATATAATATCAGTAATTGAATTAATTATAATGCGCAAACATGATGTTGTATGTTCTAAAATCTCGGTTTATTATTTGATACTTTAATGAATATTTATAGTACGACTACTTCTTGCAGGACTATAATATCTTAGGATTTTTATTTAGACAGCTATGGCCATTGTAAGTTTTATTCAAATGCAAAAAAAAAACATTTAAACGACTCGACCGAATTAATTTCCAAAACTAAGCACTATACCACCAAACGGTATCTTTCGAATAGTTTTTGCATTTTCAAAATAGGTTCAATTTTTTTTATGTAAACGAGGCCAAAAAATTTTGCACTTTCTCTTATTATAAAGAATCGGCCAATTGTTTGGGAAGACCATATCGAGTTTCATCGAATAGCTTTACAATTTTTGAAACCAGTTCAGCCGATCAGCAAAAGTTTTATAACAATTACCAATTTTAATTTAACAATTAATTACGAAGAAGCAACCGGCCAAAATCTAGTAAGCATGATTTCCAAACAATATCTTTCAATTTTTAAAATCGGTTTAATATTGTGGGCTAAAACGTGGACAAAAATTTGATCTACAAGACTGATAAACCTTGTTTTTATTTAAGTACATCGAATGGCGATTAAATTTCTGAAATCTGTATTAAAGATTACTTTGTATTGAAGTGAATTATTCAGTATATATATATATATATATATATATATATATATATATATATATATACAGGGTGGCTGATATGTAATGCAACAAAGTAAAGCGCTATAACTTTGTCATTTTCATTTTAAATTTCATTGTTCAAAAGCAAAAATAATATATAAATTTATATATATATATATAAACATATATATATATATATATATATATATATATATATATACAGGGTGGCTGATATGTAATGCAACAAAGTAAAGCGCTATAACTTTGTCATTTTCATTTTAAATTTCATTGTTCAAAAGCAAAAATGTCGGAAATAACGTTAAATTTTAGAATCAGTTTATATTTGTTCTAATTGGCCACCTTTGGCACGAATTATGGCCTTCAAACGGCAGAAAAACCATGACACGCTGCACGAAAGTGGCGCTGTGGTATTTTGGGCCATTCCTGGCGAGGCGCCTGCTTAGGATGATCGACACTTTGGTATTTTTTAGTGTGAACCTTACTCTTCAAAATTTCCAAGACACAAAAGTCCAGCGAATTTAGATCCAGAGATTTTGGTGGCTATTGCGATGGAAATGAAGCGAGAAAACTTTTTACAAGCCATTTTTGGTAGACGCGTACTGAGTTTGATGGTGCTGAGTCCTGTTAGAATGTCCATGGTCTGCGACCGAAATTTTTGTCTATCCAGGACTTCAATACTACCTTTAAGACATTTTCCCGATAATTTCGGCAATTATTTTGATCCCACGGTCGATGAATAAGAGCGGAATGTCATCATCGGCCGTTACGATGGTTCACACCAGTACCGTCAGCGGCGCTTGAGTTCTGGTGGCCAATCAAAGATGTAAATTTTTAGCTGACCCTTTTGGCAAGTAAACCCTATCATTTTGTTTGTTCACAAACTGCTCGATTTGGAAGGACTTCCCATCTGAGCAAACCAAATTCGGTAACTAGCCACTTTCGTGCAAGCGAAGCAACCCCTTGGCTCCTTCCCGTCTAACTCTTTTTTGTGCATCGATGAGCTCTTGCACTTTTTGGAACTTCAATGGCTTTAGTCCAAGCTCATTTTTCAATTTGTATTGCATCCGTTTTTGCGATATGTTCAGCTCACGGGCCGTTTTTTTACCACTGCGACACGAATTTCGATCGATTTTTGCCTATACTTTTTGGATCATTTCTGGGGTTGTTAGTGTTTTTTTTTCGTCTACTTTTTGGACGCGGTGCAACATTGAGTGTATCACGGTTACGAGATATGGTACGAGAAACACAATATTTGTTCACATTTAAATGCTGGAGGGCTCTAAATATAGCCATTTAAGGTTTTCCAGCCAAGTATGAAGCAATCGCACTATCACGCTTGACTTCCATCACGAATAACTTTTTTTCTGAATGCAATAGATCAAAATGCTTTTGTACGCTTGTAAACAATTAAATGAACAATCACTGGAATAAATCTGTCATCTGTCTGATGAGCGGTTTAGAAATTATAGCGGTCTGAAATTGGTTGCAATACATATCAGCCACCCTGTATATATATATATATATATATATATATATATATATATATATATATATATAATAAAGTTGTTCTTGGGCGTCTTTCGATTTGTCACATTAAGTCAACGAAACGTTTGACAATCAAACATTTTACTTCAATAGACATTACATTTTCTTTATTTAAAATCATGAATTTATTTAGCATATAACTGAATAGACTTGTTTGGCAAATGACAGTCTCCATTTGTTTTTAATGTCAAACCATGCCTTACATATTTTCAAGGTCAAACAATGATAAGCGTTTTTTTGTAATTTTTTCCATTTATTTCTACAATGTAACTATATTTCTATGAATCTAAAAATTCTAGAAAATTTCCCGAACAAACTTCAGGAAGATTCATGAAAATCCGAATTATAGTTTAGGAGGATTAACTATTCATACATAGTTACAGAAGAATTTTATATATAGCTGACCCGGCAAACGTTGTTTTGCAAAGTAAGGTATATTCTAAGCAATTTCTAGAAAATTTCTAGAAAATATTTAAAACTTTAAGTGTATAATGATGTGTTGTTTGAATGCTATTAATATAAAAACATTAAACCCCATTAGTTTGTCTATATTTTGCCAATACAATCAAACTGGGAGATTTTTTTTGGTTTTTAGACTTATTGATTACGTTTCAAGTTTTTCAGATCCTTTTTGGATTCTGGATTTTGTGTATAATTGTAAATAATACTACCCGGCTTATACAAAATTTTCAAATTTTTGCGAGGAGAGATAGAAAATGAATTAAGTATTTCTTCTTTGACCTGCTTTTTGAAAAGTTTCAAGTAAAATTCGATGAATTAAAGTAAATTTAATAAAAAGTATATATGTAAGGCAGGGCAAGGCAAAAAGGTCCAAATTGACTTCTAACAAATATAAACTATATTGTGAAAACCATAACAATTATATCACAACAAATAACACATATCAAACGAACAATTATCTGACTACGTTCAGTAAACTGCCTTCTACTTCATCATTGTAGAAATGTGCTTCTTGATGTCTTTCAAAAATTTGTTATCTAGACCTTTTTACCCTATAGGCGGGGTAACTTGAAACGGGCAGGTGGCAAAAGGGTTTAAAGTCTTATTATAATTTTAAAGGTATTTTGCAAAATAATTACATTTTTAACTAATACTAAAAAACTACCAACGGAAGAAAATACTTTTATTATGGATTTTCAAAGATTACCGTTTATCTCCCCCATTTCAAAGATTACCGTTTTCAGATCAAGGTTATAGCTGGTTATACATCTTTTTTCTTCTACTTTCAAATATTGTTGTTAAACAATGCTTAACTTTACTGATTTTTGACACATGGGTGGTGGACCTTTTTAACCCCGGACCTTCATATATTACTATCTATTCTTCGATAAATTCTGGGAAATTATAACTGGGAAAATGTTATTCGACAAAATGTCCATTTGATCGATACCAAATTTAGGTTCTGAATTTAAATAACATAAATAAAATGTTTTATAAATACCAATGAGTATATAATTATACAAATGAGATCATTAAGAGCACCGTGTTTGAGAAAAATATGCCAAAAAGTGCATTTTCATATTAACATTTCGAAAAAGTTGATATTTTGAGTCTCTAATAACACTTACGGCCCGTTTACTAACGTTTTTGTATATAAATAAAACTACTTACTACAATTTAATCATAATTAAATAATATTCACGTAAAACACCCTATTAAACGTAATTGATTATCATCTGTCAAAAACGTTTGACATTTCACGTATTAGCCACCGTCCATTGTTTTATTTAAATTACGCTTCTACAAACATTTTCAAATTAAAAATGTAAAGTTTCTACGCGATTTTGAAATAATATCTCACCTTTCCGACCATCTCTGGATTGGCACGAATTTTTCAAGACTAAGACTGGCCAAATCGGTTTAGCCGTTTTAGAGTTTTACCGAACTATTTGATCGAGAGGTCCATTTTTATATATAAGAAGATATATATATAATATATATATATATATATATATTTATATATAAATATATATATATATATATTTATATATAAATATATATATATATATACATATATATGTATATTGTATATATGTATATACCGAACCATTTGATCGAGAGGTCCATTTTTATATATAAGAAGATATATATATATATATATATATATATATATATATATATATATAAATATATATATGTGTATATATATTTCAACGCTGTACTTATCATAAATATATTTTTAAAGCAGTATATAAAGTGAGTGTCGAAAATGAAGAATCGCTAGCTTTTGATGTTGACGAAAGCTTTAGTACAACTTCTTTGCCTGAACATCATCAAGAACTCAACATGTTTCCTTGGCTAGCAGGGCATTTGCATGAGAGTAAATTGGAGTTTGAAGAAAATGGAATGAGGCATAGTTATAATTTCACGTCACTAGAGGTAAGGTATATCAATTAATGACCAATTAAGTGAAATTCCATGCTTTTTTAAACGAATGAAATAATTTGTTTAGTTTCAATTTTAAAGTTCAGTGACATTGTAATAATTAACTTCCTGTAAGGCAAGTTATAGTAATCACAAAAAAATCGAAAATGAAAATTTTATATATCTTTACGTTTCAAAGGTTTCTGAATATTTTGGCAAACCTTAGAAAAAATGAATGAATATGTGTGTGTGTATCGCAAGCAGGTTTTGTTACTGAGTATGTTTCGATACATCCTGCCATCCATTATCCACTCTGAATTTACGTAAAACGTGAAACAGAGTTATAATTAGAGCCAGAGTAAATATTGTTACTGGTATCTAACGACATATAAATAATATGTTTTGCAATATTATTGCATCGATATAAGGAACTGCTCTGTCTACTGTGGTTACCAATGTTTCATATGTATATATATATATATATATATATATATATATATATATATATATATATATAAAGAAACTCGTGTTCTTTATATTACGTATTTTATTTATTATGACAATAGTAACAAAACTATGTGTAATTATATTTATCATTTACAAAACGTAGATATTATTTGAGTATTTATAAAGAAAAAGGAAAAAAGTTAAGAATTATAATTTTGGCATTTCGAACATTGAGAGAAAAAAAAACAATAGAGAGATCCGAACTGACACTTGAACTTTTTGTTTTGAGCTGACACTATGATGAGCTCAAAATAATGTACATCTGTCAAGTTGAAGTTTCCGTCGGCTACGCAAAAGTACCTATGAATTTATGGTGCCCCAAAGTGCTATGCCATATGTCCAAATCGGCTTAAGTACAACTTTGTATACCAGTATTTTGTTGTGTACAGAAAGATGGGATCTCCTACCCATTAACCAATATAGTTCTCGTAACTTTTCCGTTGTCTTTTCTTTTCCATGTGAATTTTCCAATTCAGTTTGCGGTCTAGATGCATGCCCAGATACTTTACGTGTTCGACCTGAGGGACTTCTATTTCATTCACAGTTACAGGTGGACATGTCTCGTGTTTGAGTGTAAAAGTGATGTGGGATGATTTCTGGCCATTGATCTCTAGCCTCCACAGTTTGTACCATTTTTCTATTGACGTTAAGTGACTTTGAAGTTGCTCTAAAGCAGTTGTGGGATTTTCATGTTTTGAAAGAATGCAATTATCGTCAGCAAATGAGGCTATGTCTGTGTCAAGTGAGGTGGGAATGTCAGCTGTAAAAATTAAGAACAAAATTGGGCCGAGAACACTGCCTTGAGGCCTGATTTTATTATTTTAATAGGTGAGTTCATGTTGATAATGTTTACGTAGAAACTTCGGTTTGATAAGTATGATTTAATTAATAGAAATAGGTCATTGGGTAAAGTAGTTTTAATTTTATAAAGAAGTCCTGTATGCCAAACTTTGTCAAATGCTTGTGTGGTATCTAAGAACAGAGCTGAGCAATATTTCTTTTCTTGTAGAGTTTCGTTAATGGGTTTGTTCAATCGTTGAATGCATCTTTCTAAAACCGAACTGATGACAAGGAATTGTATTATTATTATTCAATGTGACAAGAATTCTTTTAAGCAGCAATCTTTCGAGTATTTTGGAAAGGAGGGGTAAAAGACTTATTGGTCGATATGATGTTGTATAGGATGGATCTTTGCCAGGTTTTGGAATCAAGATAATCCTTGCTCTTTTCCAAGCTAGAGGAAAAATTTGAAGTCTACATATCGAATTGTATAGAATTGTCAGAAATCTTATAGACTTTGGTGAAAGATGTTTCAGCATTTGCATCGAGATCTTGTCGTATCCTGGTGATTTACCTGATTTGGATTTTGTTATTTATTTCTTGACTTCTGATAGGGAGAAGCCCATAGTAAATAAACTCTTCTTCTTGAGAACTGCATTTCTGAGGTGGACATTGAAAAACTTCTTCAAAATAGTCGGCAAAGTAATTGAGCTTATCCTCATGGCTTATAGCCCAGGAGTTGTCGGCTTTTTTAATTGGTACCGTTTGAGCGACTGGTTGACGACAATTTCTTTGCGGCTTTCCAAAGTAAATAGTTAGTTTCTTTGGTAGAAGTTAAGTGTTTTAATTTCTCTTCAAAAACTTGGTTGTTAAAGTTTCGGAGCATGAGTTTTAAATCTTTGCAGGCTCTGTTAAGATTGGATTTATCTACCGGTGATCGTGTGGTTTGCCAGATTTTTCTTAGTCTTCTTTTTATTGCGATTTGCGTTTGATTGAAGTTGGACAATTAAAAGAAAAGTTGTTTTCGATTGATGGAGTGGAGTTTTGTGCGGCGATATAGAGTGAGTCATTAAAAAAGTTCACTGTAAAATCAATATCTCTTTCAGATTTTAGTGGTAAGTTGCATTCCAGATTATTGTCCAGAATATTTCCAAATTTGCTCCAATTGGTATACTTATTTGTGAGGTGAAGGTTGAGGTTACAGATTGGTTCAGTATTGCTAAAATATACAATTACCGGAGAGTGATCTGAAGACAAGTCCAAGCTTGAGTACGCTTTCAAGTTTCTTTCTGGAATACCTTTGCAAATGAAGAAATCTAGTAAATCTGGTTTTTTATGCATGTCGCTTGGCCAGTAGGTAGGTTCTCCTGTCAATATTGGTGTTGAGTTGTTGGAGTTAATTAAGTTGAAGAGTTCTCGTCCTCTGGAATTGCATAGTCTTGAACCCCAGTGAGTATGCTTGGCATTATAGTCCCCTGCTACTATGTATTTATTTCCAAGACCGTTGAAAAACGTTTCAAAGTCTCATGTTTAGGCAGGCAGTAGACTGATGCAATTGTAGTATTACTTTGAGGAAATTCTACAGAAATGATGGTTGCTTGCAGGAAATCATTACAGACAGGTTCCATTAGATAATGTTTGATTTTAGATTTCATTAAAATGGCTCCGTGTGCTCTATCGTCAGGATGCCTGGTGCTGTAAGTGGTATAGAATCGAATATTAAAATAACTTCTGCTCGTAAAATGAGTTTCTGAAATTAGCATTATATCAATGTCATTGCTTAGAAGAAATTGTTTGAGCTCTTGATGATGTTGAGCTAGACCGTTGGCGTTCCATGTGCACAATTTATTCTTTATTATTTTATTCACTAAAGACTTGTGATTATATTGAGCACAGTGCCGATTTGGTTCATTAACGTTTTCATCATATTTTTTAATTCATGTATGTCACTTTGTTGATTGGCTTGTTGATGGTTTGTAGGTTGTTCTGAATTGTCTTGTTGGCATGTAATATTATTATCTATTTTCTGTGAGTTTCTTGTTATTTCTGAGAAGGAGACGTTTGCACGTACGAAGGAGTGGCTCGTATTAACGGGATTTTTGAGGGGAGTCTGACTTCTTCTGACTTCTAACGGGACTTTTGAGGGGAGTCTGACTTCTAATGGTGGAAATTTACGAAGTTGTTCTTGTTGATAAATAGCACATCCTTTATAGCTTGCGGGATGGTTTCCTCCACAAAGTGCGCATTTTACGTTTTGGTTGACAGGATCTCTCCACGAACAATCTTTAGTAAAGTGTTTTCCGGCGCATTTTACACAACGCGCTGTGCGTGTACAGTAATTTTTTGTGTGCCCTAAACTTTGGCATCTTGTACATTGTGGCACTTCTCGAGTAGGTCTGTTTGCTTCTATAGAAACCTTGGTTCTATAAAGAAAGTCAATGGAATAAATATCTTTGTTATTTTTCTGTTGTTCCAATTTCATCACAAAGATATTTATTGGGTATCCTGTGTATCTATGTTTTAAGTTGTAAATTCTTAAAACATTGTGACCCTTCTCACTTATTTCTTGTTTTAGCATTGCTACATCAGTGCTATGATGTACATTTTTTATTACAACTTTGAAAGATCGCTGTGACTTTGTTTGATATGAATGTAGTTCAGTTCCTATTTCTTTCAAATGTTTTAGTACGGTGTTATACGTCTGTGGATCCTTTGTGTTAACTTTAACTTGCTGCAGTCCAGTTGGTTTGTAAGAATATTTGTCCTTGGCGTGTAATTCTAATAATTCGATGAGAGGCTTGATGTCGTCAACACCGTAGACAAAGATTGGTGGTGGATTAATTGTCTTTTCTACTGGTTCAACACTAGAAGGCGCGTATTGCAGAGTGTCATAATAATTCTTTGTGGGCACTGAGTTTAACCAGTAGTCTTTCAAGGTAACCTTTTTCGTTGTTGCTTCGTTGCAGTAATTTTCCTGTCTTCTTTTATTTGTAACGGTTGTCCATCCCTGGCCTTGATCAACATCATTCATATTTCTATTGATTGGTTCAGGAGTTGTGTGTACTTCGGTATTCTGATTGACGTTATTGTTAATGTGTTGATACGCCGTGTAATCTTTACCGGCGGTATTTATATGCACTGGGTCACTGACATTTTTAATTGTTTTTATGTTAATTCTTTCACTTGAGTTGTCACTTAGGTCCATTTCACTATCAATATTGTCATATTCCTTGTGATTCACAGTGTTCATTGCTTGCGCAATTGATTCGCCAACAGTTGAACAGCTAACCAAACTTACGTCTGGTGGTCGGCCGTTGGGTTGAACAAACTCTCTTGATTGCATGACTCACTTTAACATATAACGCACTTATTTTAACACGACTGATATCACCAATACTTTTTAAAATGAAATTATAAAAAGAATAAATAAAAATGTATATGGATCTCTACACATGTATAACCGTGGATTATGGATGACTTCCCAATAAATTATTTGCTCGAGAGCTCGCGTGACACGTCCGTTCGGGTCGAGGGCTCGACGAGAACTGACCATTTCGAAGATACGAAGCAAAAAGTGCAAATAGCAATCAGAACTTTACGTCCTGAATCTGCTCCTTTTATCCATCCATATTTGATTACTTCATTATTAAAATTTATCTAATAGGGTTGACTTATTATTATACTTCTCGAAAGAGAAGTTTATGTATTCGCCCATAAATCGGAGTTGC